CATAACTATTTGATATGAGAGTTAATAGTTATAGGTATGGAAGTAGTAGAGGACTTGTGCAAGGATTACAACAAGATAAATTTTATGTAACGAATCACGCAAAAATGTAACGCAAACGTTGGACGTACCGCCATCATGACGGCTACTCCCTCGGTGTGCTCGTGATCGTCCTCTGGGTGACCGGAGTAGATTATTGTCTCTCCAGTTGGTAGTTGGAACCTTCCGCATCCGTTCCATCTGCTCTCGCAGATTCTCAACACTTCTATTCCATATCTTCTCATTTCTGCGGCTACCTGAGCAGCCTTTCCAGTTTCGTACATTGTACGAATATTCCACGTCCCCATCCTTATTTTTGCTTTCATCGAAAGAAGGCACATCGGCTGACTGGCTTCCCGAAGGATTTCACCAGCCTGCGTCATTTCACTTCCCCGATTCCAGCGAAAAATAAGGTTATTGTTTGTATTTTTAGAATTTTGAATATATTTGTGCGTTGAAGTTTTAGTAGCAATTTGGTTGAGTTTTGGGTGTGGGGTTGCTAGCATCACACCCCAACCCTCCCTCTTTATCCGGACTTGGGACTGGCTGGAGTACTAGTGACCTAGTAATCTAGGCGTGTTTGATTAGTTACACTTTTGTATATTATCAATTCTTTGTGCAATAAATTTTACTGGCTCTTTCTCGTTTAGAAAAAACTGTGTGGAACATTTACGTGTTCCGATAGAGTGTTGAATAATTCCACACTTTATGACACTAACCTCGGTGATATCAATTTGTCTATTCTGTTGTAAACTAGTTGCGGGCAGTCCTCAGTACATGTTTTATTATTCCCTTTGGTGACGAGTGGAACATACAGCTTCAACAGCGCATCTCCACTCACTCCGATTCTCTTCTGTACACGTTAGCTATCCACATGGTTGTCTGTAAGCTTTTATCTTCTCCTCGGTGGCACAGTGGTTAGGACTCTCGCCGACCATGCACATGGTCTAGGGTTCGATCCGCTGCCGACGCACACCCAATATCTATTGTCGGCCTGTGAAATTTGGGCTACCGATATCCATGCTGAAAATGACATACAAATACTGTTGATCATCACATCTGGTCACTGTGATGCAGACTAAAAGTAGAAGGTTATGATAGTCAATCAGAGTAGAACGTTTTAGGGCTGCAAAATAGAGTTCTTGGGATATGTTGTTAACAGCAACGGGATGGCACCAGTGCCCAAAGAGATAAACACCATTGAGGAACTTTCCGTTTCCACTTCTCGTAAGCAGTTTCGAAGTTTTCCAGGATTCGTCAGCTCCTGTCAACGCTTTATTCCTAGTTTCAGATAATACATGCCTCCCCTGACTGATGAAAGAATGAGGAAACTAAAAGACCTCCGCTTGTCAAAAGAGGCATCCAATACAATCATACGGATAGATGTGTTGGCAAAAGACAACCATTAAAGGTCTCCATCTATATGCTCTTCTTACACTAATGAGAGATGCACCTAATAAGGTTTTGTGAACAGTTCCTAATCAACTAGCTGAAGATGGCTGGGAACCGGTAGCATTCTTTCCTAAACAGTTTAGTCCTGAAGAAACAAGGTACTTCACTTTTGGCAGAGGGCTACTCCCAACACTTTCGCCACGGACAGGCAGACCATTCATCATCTAAACAGATCACAGGCCTCTAATTTACACACACAGCATGAAAACTGAAAGACGACGCGTAGATTTTGACGAGACAGCGGGTATCACAGCAGAAGGCTAAGGTATACAGGCACACATTTTCTCCTTTAGAAACACTCTCGCAGTAACATACTCGTTTTGTCCATGTCCATGTGAGCTTGACAGATCCACCTCATCGATACTTACATGGATTGTTAGGTTCACCAGGTTCCTTGCAGCCGCACCGGTTACTGATATTACAACGGAAACAGTGGTGTAGACCTCTATGTTCAGCTGCGAAAGTGGTGTTCTGAACCACCGTTAATGACTCCGTGGCTAGTATATTGGTCTTAGTGCTGATAAGAACTGGCTTGACCAGGTGAAATATTCTGAAAGACTTTGAGCACGAGTAGTGGAAATTAAGGCCAATTTCATCCGAAGAACAATCAAGAGGTGTGTACATACCTGAGCAGTTGAGCCCCTGCTCCACTACATGGATAAGGCTAGGTGAAACATGATCGTCTCAGTCCACCACAAGAAGGAGCTTAAGAAAGCTGCGGCAAGGCGATTGAAACACTATGTGATTTAACGGGGCAATATAGATGATAGCGTTAGTGTGGACTGATAATAACGGGCCTGTCCGAACGACGATCCTTCCCTGCGTATTCAAATAGGCTGAGCCTCAGACTGGAGTAAAGTCTTTAGAAAATATATAGAGTGAATGATAGGCTATGTTAACACCTAAATATATAAGTGTTGTAGTTCACCCAATGTCCTATAGGAGCACCCTGATGCATTTTTCAAAAAGTGACAAACGTAAAAGTGATATACATGTAAATTACCAGTTTTTTTCTAAAAAATTTTAAGAGATATTTTCATTTCATCTTAAGTGGTAATTTTTGGAAAATTATGCCAAACGAAGACACGTAATTGCATTATTTTGTGAGTCAGTCGTCATAAGCAGTTTGACCTGTGGTCGGTGTAAATTAGACATCCGTTTCCTCTCCTTAATCTAGTTCTCTTTCAGAGTGCCTTTAAAAAGTGGAGACAAATAGAGAGAAAATTATATGGTACTAAAAATGAGGCGAATGAAGTTAGCTACAACTTTATTATTATAATTTAAGCATCTTTAATGAACTGCAATAGCATTGATCATACTTTACAAATCGATATTATTTAAAAAAACGCTAATATTGTTATTGACTACTAATTTAAAATATTCTGTGTATATAAACATATATATAATTGTAGAGCCTGGAAGAGGAATTTATCGAAAGGAATATTCTTTGCTCGATTATTTTGTGTTTTATAGTTTCATAGAATTCAATATCACGGACATCCTGGATCCCTCAGCCCAGCAACTGAGATCGTATATTGACACTTCACCATTAAACATACCAGTTGTGTTTTTGAATGAATAGTGAAACAAAATTCAGGACCTACTGAAATAATCTGTTTCTCCGACCAGCTTCCTCCTCCATTTGTTTTATACCAAAACACGCTGAATCGAGTAAGTAAACACCTGTTTGCCGGCCTCAGCCAGGTAAAGTCCTAACACACCAACATGGTGTTGGGTAGCCCACTATTGGCACTTCTTCAGAGAGTTTCTTCTTCAAATTGCTAATGTTCTACCTGCTGTCCCAGAATTCAATTTTCTTCAATTATCAGGTTGGAATTCTAAGCTCAGAATGAGTGCATCAGTCGCTGTTCTAAAATCGGAAAGGAAGGTAGTCAAGCAGACTTTATCAGACAGTCATACTCTAGTATTATAAAAACCATAGCACTTGCATTGCGAACGAGAGATACGCAGAGAAGTCAATACCTAACAACAAGGAGTTTATCATATAAAGTCGCAATTCGTAAGTCCAGGAATAACACGACCTTGACCTTGGCGGCCTGCTTGAACATTTTGGGCTACCATATTCTATGTACCTTTTGCATCTATTTACTCATATTTTGTTGGTATTTACATTTAAAATTATGCATTCTAATCGTATCATTCTATTTCGGGATTATATAAAATGCTTAAAACCTAAAAATGTTCATATTTGCAATAAACTCAAGAAAAAGCACCATGGTGGTTGGCAACGTTCTTCAAAATCTACACCCATACATCAAACCACTGTTCCGGTTATCGTTAGTACCAACTGCCGGTCACTGCCTAACAAAATTCTGGATTTCCAGTCCCTGTTGTTGTCCGAAACTAATCACAATACTGCTATTGTCACTCTACAAGAAACCTGGCTCCATGACTCATATGATGACAATATAGTGTGTTTAAATGATTTTAATGTATTCCGACAAGACCGTGTTTGTTCCAACAAAAAATGTGGCGGAGGTGTAGCTACATTTATTCACTCAAAATGGTCTATTTCTAACAAAGTTTGTTTTGAATTCTCGAATGACTACATTGATTGCATCACTGTCAGATGAATTCACTGCTTTTGCTGCAGCTTGCTTCGAGAACTCTTTATCAATAGTCACTGGCGATTTGAACTCATGCGATCACTCCTTCCTTATATCACTTGGCCATGACAATATTTTTAACTTTGTTGGCCCTCTTGGAAAAACACTAGATCTAGCATTCATCAATGATGTTGGTATATATGAAGCTCGGAAACGTGCTCCTGTACTGAACTCTGACCGCTGCAACATACGTGTACTGCCTAAAATATATTCCAAATCACACAAACGTGTCTTCTCTCATCTCTACAGTAAATTTCAAAGGAGATGCTACTCACAAGACAACCTAAGCAAACTCAGATGCATGTTGAAAGACACTAACTGGGACCTATTTACAGAAAGATGTATTTGTTGACGATAATTAGCAGAGACTTTATAAGTAGGTAACCACACCAAAACGTAGCGACCAAGCTCTTGTCCCTTGAAAATTATCTTGACCACCATGTGTTTCAATCTGCACGGACTGAGAGAATAATAGGTGGAGGTTCAGCTGAGTTGACGAACTTCTTTGATCCCCTACAAACGTTCATATACATCTAGTTCAGTCATTAAGTTTAACCAGAAGATCCAACAAGAGGATAATATTAGTTTTAAATATAGAACAAGAGAAAAGTGTCTGTTGCATTCACTTATGATGCAAATTGTAGGATATAGTGATATGGGATGGTTCATATGATAATATTTATGGTGCTTGTATGTCATTTTATTTAGCAAAGATGAGTGCTCGATTAACTGAGGTTCATACACGAACAAGTAAACCTTTCAGATGGCATGGATGCCTTACTGTGTACCCTCAACCCATCCTGTCTAACTAAACAGGGAAATTGGTGCCTGATGTTGAGATCTAATAGAGCTGCAGGCTACTGATGTTTTGAAATCTCACCATTTATGAGTTCAAAGTTAACTGGTGATCGAATATGTTCTTATAAAGTATGAAGGATACTATGGAATGAAAAGCAGAAAGTGAGGAACAAAGTTAAGGTTTCATATCTGAAATTTAAGCCGAAATTGAACGATAACCTGTCGACTCTATTGCATTGATAGCCTCTTCAGATTTATTGTATTATGAACAAATCTGAACTCAAAGTTTTACTGAAAGCTCCGTAAAATGCTGGGTACTTCAAACCTGGAGCACTCTTATATTGGTTCGTTAAGTCAGAGTTGCACGTGAGTTCCTGAGGGGGCTTTTTAGCTAATAAAATGCTGATTTTGTTCAACATTAATAAATGAAAATTACATTTCGTTGTAGTAGAAAGGTCTTATTATTCTTATATGAAGGAAATGTTTGTTTATCTATTTTTTGAACTTCGTACGAATTCAATTTCAACGTGGCTAGTTTGAGTATTCGCGCCTATAGCTGCACCTGTGTTCCCACTCAGTTAAGCAGTCTGGTGAGTTATTTGCGATTTTACATGGCGTCATTTGTACATAATTCCTGAATAAACTTTGGATGCACGAATAGTTTCGAGGCAGTCAACTATTGTGGACAAGACTAATTCTTGTGAAAAGTGGTACAAAAAGTTTGGACTATTGAAATAAGAAAGTGGATGCTGTTGTTTTAAATGTTACAAGGATGCGTAGAATCTCAATATTCTTCAAAGTAATCATCTTGTAGAGTCAGGATCTGGTGCATGGAAATAGGTTCGACCCAGAGTCACAGGGATGGAGTCAGGTGAAACATAGTTGTAGGGTTTTTTGTTGGGGTTTTTATAGATGGCACTTATAATAAGGACGCTTATCTGGGGGCACCAAGGTCATTTGTGGGTTTGTTCAAGTGAACCCTTACTCCTAAGGATATTATATGTAATGTTCAAGCGGCGCATATTCATTTGTGTCGTCAACTTAATGCATTGACCTATAGACCTAGACTGTGTTTAAGGCTGATCTCACTCGTCGTTTATTCGCAGAGTCAACTGAGCCACAGTATATGTTGCAGGTAACACAAACCCATCCATATGACACTTTCAAACAGTACCACACATTTGCTCAGTGTAGTTTGAGCAGCTCTTATTTTGTGTCATTTTATCACTTCATCTTCGTTTAATTCTTGAGATAATGTTGATAACATAGATAAAGCGTCCGCAAATACTCTAGGAATGTGTATTACTTAAAATCAGACTTTGTACTACGGAGAAGCAATAAAAAGGCAAGTTATTAACTGGTAAGTGTTGTTGGGAAAACCGAAGATTCTGTGATTGGCAGAGTAATGAAAAAATCAAAAGACTACTAAATGATTTTTAGGTTGGCGTGAAAATAATAGAAGGGTAGACCGAACATCCTACAGTGTTGTTTACTTATAAGGAATAGCAGGAAACCAATTTGTACCCTAATGCGTCACCACATCCATTAACTAATCGATTCTCAAGCTCGTTTTGTGAATAAGTAGAAGAGTGGTTAGTATTAAGTCTGTGTCTAATTCCAGAAGTCGTCAGTATACATATATATATTACTCCGAATTTCGAGTGTCCATCCATTTGGATATATTGCGGCTTTGAAAGTTAACTTTGCACGCTGACAGATTAAGATAGATGATGATCTGTATCTTGCACAGCAGCTCATGATGCTGAAATATATCGATTCCAGAACTTGATTGGCCTGGGTAAGATATGTGTTGGAAGACACCAGCTTATGGCCGATGTTATTTAATTTTTTAAAACGTTTTGTATTTTCCAGTTCATATACTAATGCCGAAAAGGCCAAGGAACTCAGTAAAACAAGAAGACTGTCAGTTTGAGGTTGGAACAGGTAATTCTTTTTTTAGGTGTGCTAAATTTGTATATGATATAGATTAAACATTTTATTGGTGTTATTATTCATTTCTTACTCTGAGAGAAACAGGAAGCTTTTGTATCACATCAGCATCTAACTCGTTTCTCTGGTATTATTTTCGCTTGATTCTGTGATAACTCAGCCTTTTACTTCTTCACATGATCTTCATATTACCTACGGTCGGCCAACTTGTTGCTACCTATTTGGGCTATATTAAAGGACCTGAAGTTTGATGTTACAAGGAAGTTTTCTCGGAGTGTGCCCAATCATTTTCCTCCACTCTCCATTGTCTGTTGTATGACCCAGTCGAGCACAATCAGGACGATGATGGGTGATAGAGAGTGGCCTTGTCTTACTTCTGTTTTCACTACAGATTCTCTCTGGTTGTCTTTACGTTGTGAATTATTTGACTTTTGGCATCGTCATAATAGTAATTGAATAAGGTTTATAGACGTTTGTGGTACTCTGTAATGTTGAGGTAGTTTCCGAACCATATCATTGAGGTTAATGTGAAGAGTTGTCTGTGAATCTGAACAGTGTTCGATAATGATGCGTAGTGTTGCAATTTAGTCCGCACATGGAGTTTTTCTTCCTGAATTCGGTCTATTCCCTGTGAAGCCTTCCATGCTTGACACCTTTCAGTCTTTCCAGTATGATGTAGTTTGATACTTTGTCTGAGGCAGATAGTAGCATGATTTCACACCTGTTCTTGAATGGGCTTGTATCACACTTTAGCGCAGTTTTACATGGTGGGCGTTATTCCAATCGCTATCAGATTTAATTACTTCATCCAGTACCTACATTAGTGGCGTGAGATTGTCTCCTGAAGTCTCTCTGTCGATAATGTATCTTCCCTTGTGGCTTCCTACCGGTCTTGGTTTATTCGGGAACCAGAATATCTATTTTTTTTGATGTGTTCTACATTACCATCCATCATTGCTTAATGCTATCATGTTAATACATAAGTCGAGTAGAAGCAGTTCATACATATATACGTATAAATTCTCCATATTCTAAGTATGTATCGGTTTTGACATTTTGTAGCTTTGGAAGTGAAAGAGCACGAACTTAAATAGATTTAAGTAGGTTGCTTGCATCTTGTACAGTAAGCAGCCCAAATATATCGATCTGGTATAACTATGATTGTCGAATGATATCAGCTTATGTCGAGTGTTATTTAGATGTAAACTGTTAATCTCTTGAAATTTTTTGTATATTTCAGTTAATGTGAAAAAGCCCGAATGTCCAAATGAGGCAGAAGAAAAAAACCCTGAATGTCCAACTGAGGCAGAAGAAAAAAGCCAAGTGGAAAAGTCTGTGGGAGATACAAGAAGTAAGACTCTGTTTATAGGCGTGTTGATTATGCATTCAATATGCTCTATTATTGTTTTTCAAAAATTTTATTTCTCTGCATTCCCAGTAGAATATGGAGTTTCAAGCTTCAGCTTTGATGTTTCAACAGCACAGTAGTGTTTCCTTTATAATAGATAGGGTTGTTAATCTCATGCCCCCAACCTCTCTCCTTTTCCGCACTTGATGCCACCTAAGTGAGGCGCTTACCATTTCGCTCCGTCCTCTTCTATCACTCTGAGACAAAGACACTGAAAGTGGAAGACATGCAAAGACTAGCTGTCTCTGACCATAGATGTTTACATTCTATCTCCAATGTTAGTTTAGGTGGTAGAATAGGGTGAGCGATAATGAAGTTAGGCGCTGAGTGTTAGGCAAGGAAGGGAAATCAATCGACGAGGCTGTGAAGTTGCATCGATGACTAATGTTAGCTGACTGATATCGGATGCATCAGGCTGGAGAGGAGCTAGCACGTGGTGGTCAAACCAAAACATGTCTTCATCAGTCAGTGGAATCCATTACAGTTTGTGTAAGGCGGCCACGTATGGAGGTGTAAACTTCCTGACTGAGTGGTTGGGGAACTCGGAAGCGTAAAGACTTATAGCTGGAGACAATTGGTGATATGGCTCCAAATGGTTCTCAGTGATATCTGGCGCAGATGTATTCACTATTTGTGATTTGTCATATATAATAAAACTCAATTGTTCTTCCATATTACTATTCTTTTGCCTCGTAGCTCTATTTATTATCTCTGTTTTGAAACTTTCTCTTCTCTCGCTTTGTGTGGTACAAGGAGGGAGTGTGGCAACTGAACTGCTGCACATATGTGTAAAGTTTTATATGGAAAAAAATCATTCAGTTAGTACTAGATCACATAGCAGGATTTTTGATTTTATTGATAATATTGTCCACAAGTTGTTTAACTTCCTCATATAGTCCTGTTTTAATATGTTGACTGACCTTGTTTATGTAATCTGATTTGTCCATGACCGCTGTTGTATTATCCTTGTCCGATTTAGCGATCACTATGTTTTTGTCGTTTCTCAAGCATTTAGAGCTGCTATTTCGTTTTGTGATAAGTTGCTTTTTCCTTTCCTCTGATGTTTTAGTGTCAAAGTACATTTTGCTTTGACTTGTTCCGCAGAAGTTTTTCTATATTTCACTTGTTGCTGCTTCTATACGGGGAATGACGTCTTCAGATTTTAATCTGTTGACAGCCACGTTTAATCCTGCTCCTTGGTTATGGTGGAGGTATGTGGATAACACATTCCATCACTGTGTTGAAACCTCAACATATCCCTCATTTTTTCACACATATAAACTTAACTATAATTATTAGAATTGTAAGTTTTAGATAACAGATTTCGTTAATGGGTTAAAAACTAAATTAGGATTAAATAAGCAAGTTGAATGACGTAATCTACTTGACGTGGTTGAGTAGAGCTCAGCTAAAATTAAAACTGAACTAAAGTCAAGTTTACAACAGTGGTAATAAGGAGTAGAGATTTATTAAGGCGTGGGCGAAAAATATTATACGATTAAGAAACAAACAAGCAAGAAAAAGACGAAAAGCGTTACGTATTTGGTGTTAAGATAGGTCGAGTTCACTGTAGATTTAATGACTGAACAAACTTCATCTGTATTCAGAGTTCAGATTTTAATATGTGGATTGCCATTGCTTCTGTGGTTTGAACAAGTTTGATTAGTTATCTTTATGGATTACCGAAAGTGGACAAGAAAGATATACCTCTTCGACCCATTCTCGATATGACCAATTCACCAAATCATCGTACTGCCTAGTGGCTAGTAGACCTACTAGAACCAGTCAGACGGCAAATTTCCTGACACTTACTCCGAGATTCCTTCGATTTTGTCAATCCCATTGAAGACGTCAATGTTTCCAGTCAAACCATGTTCTCATTAGATGTGGTATCACTGTTTACAAACGTCCCACTTACCGAAACAATATGCTATATATGTGAAAATATTGACTCAAAGCAGACGAATATCACCATACCTACTGAATATTTGAAGGAATTCCTATTGAGATGCACCCCCAAACGTTCAATTCTCTTTCAGTTCAGTGAACTTGACCTATCTTAACACCAAATACGTAACGCTTTTCGTCTTTTTCTTGCTTGTTTGTTTCTTAATTGTATAATATTTTTCGCCCACGCCTTAATAAATCTCTACCCCTTATTGCCACTTTTGTAAACTTGACTTTAGTTCAGTTTTAATTTTAGCTGAGCTCTACTCAACCACGTCAATTAGATTACGTCATTCAACTTGCTCATTTAATCCTAATTTAGTTTCTAACACATTAACGAAATTTGTTATCTGAAACTTACAATTCTAATAATTATACTTAAGTTCCTAGCCGATTAACGCTTTCTACATTATGTAATTTGTTAACTAAAATTTACAATTCTAGTGACGAATTCTTGAAATATTCATTTTGTTGTTAAGAAAATTAACTATATATATATATATATATATGTATATGCGGCTGTACAGCATGAGAATGATATCTCCGAAATGAGTAATTCTTCGCTGAACGTCTTTTCTTTTATATGACTCAATGGGAATTGTTTAGTTTGAAACAGGCAATAAAGGGAGATATAGGACTGAATGTAATGTAATTTCAAAGGTATATATATCCGTGTATGTAGAGTATTTAGCTGACGAGTTCTACCGAAATTTGATGAATTCATTAAATCCTGCCTTATTAACCTTTATTGCTTGTTTTAAATTCGTATCGGGAAATAAATGTTTCCAATTTTTTAGTTGCTGAAACGTTGCAAAAAACAGATTAGTATTAAAAATGACAACAATAATATAGAACTGAAAGCCTTTGTAGCACTACTGTATGAAGAAGGAACGTCAGAGGCCTTATGTAGGATTCTCAATGAGGCTAGAATGAGTCGAGGTGACATTTAAAGCAACCAACCAACTAATTCGCTCAGAGATAAACTTTGTCGGCTTGTGAACCCAATAGATCCAATTAAGAAAAATAAGATAATTAACCAAGTACTATATAATGATTATAACTGAGATCAATTACATCATAGGTCAAACTAGTAGATCGGGGTCAATTAGATTATTGGAATATGAAAAGTTAGCTTGACCTAGAATAATTGACCCTGATAAGTTCAATAACCTGGAAAAAAAACAGACCTCAGCCATTGCACTGCATTCACTTGCATGTAATCACAAAACAGGGTGAGTGGGGCAGGGCGAGAGAATTAAAAAGTAATGCAGTTAGGTGGAGTGTGAGAGAGGTTAATAACTGAAGCTTTGTTCATCGATTCAACACAGCACACGTACAATCAGAATGAGATATGGAAAATGGCAACAAACAGCAAAGGAAATTTGGAGATAAAAAGACAGTTACAGCGAAGAAAATTTTCTTTTCGACGAATTCATCATCTAGGCTGTACATTCGTGTATATATATCAAATGGATGGGAAAGTTCCAGAATAATTTCTGGTTAGGGGTCAAATTACTAAAAGTTACAATTAGGAATTTGAATGCCATAATAAACAGGGGGATGGGTGAAACTCAAACAAAGTAGCATAATAACTAAGAAGATTGACATTGTGCAATTTGGGGTTAGAAATGTAAAAATAACAAAATATACAGGATGTTTGGATAAAAAACGAGTGTGATGAATAATTGTTTATGCAATCAGGGATTAAATATGTAGAAATAGTAAAATGACAAAATAAACAGGAAGTGTGGATATGAAAGTATGGTAGTGTAGACAGGGATTAAGAAAACTTAAAAAAAAATTGAATAAACAGGAAGTTTAGATACGAAAGGCGATGGGATGGTCATTATTAAAAAATTTACCTGTTTATGATGGCCATGGCAGGGACAGGGGTTGGGCGTATTTCTTTTGGATACAAAGAGTGGGTTTGAGTTTTTGGATAGCTAACTCAAACCCGCTCTTTGTATCCAAAAGAAATACGTTAATCTCTTGAAACTTTTTGTATATTTCAGTTAATGTGAAAAAGCGCAAATGTCCAACTGAGGCAGAAGAGGAAATCCCCGAATGTCCATCTGAGGCCGAAAAAGAAAACCACGAATGTCCAACTGAGGCAGAAGAAAAAAGCCAAGTGGAAAAGTCTGTGGGAGATACAAGAAGTAAGACTCTGTTTATAGACGTGTTGGTTATGCATTCAATATGCTCTATTATTGTTTTTCAAAAATTTTATTTCTCTGCATTCCCAGTAGAATATGGAGTTTCAAGCTTCAGCTTTGATGTTTCAACAGCACAGTAGTGTTTCCTTTATAATAGATAAGGTTGTTAATCTCATGCCCCCAACCTCTCTCCTTTTCCGCACTTGATGCCACCTAAGTGAGGCGCTTACCATTTCGCTCCGTCCTCTTCTATCACTCTGAGACAAAGACACTGAAAGTGGAAGACATGCAAAGACTAGCTGTCTCTGACCATAGATGTTTACATTCTATCTCCAATGTTAGTTTAGGTGGTAGAATAGGGTGAGCGATAATGAAGTTAGGCGCTGAGTGTTAGGCAAGGAAGGGAAATCAATCGACGAGGCTGTGAAGTTGCATCGATGACTAATGTTAGCTGACTGATATCGGATGCATCAGGCTGGAGAGGAGCTAGCACGTGGTGGTCAAACCAAAACATGTCTTCATCAGTCAGTGGAATCCATTACAGTTTGTGTAAGGCGGCCACGTATGGAGGTGTAAACTTCCTGACTGAGTGGTTGGGGAACTCGGAAGCGTAAAGACTTATAGCTGGAGACAATTGGTGATATGGCTCCAAATGGTTCTCAGTGATATCTGGCGCAGATGTATTCACTATTTGTGATTTGTCATATATAATAAAACTCAATTGTTCTTCCATATTACTATTCTTTTGCCTCGTAGCTCTATTTATTATCTCTGTTTTGAAACTTTCTCTTCTCTCGCTTTGTGTGGTACAAGGAGGGAGTGTGGCAACTGAACTGCTGCACATATGTGTAAAGTTTTATATGGAAAAAAATCATTCAGTTAGTACTAGATCACATAGCAGGATTTTTGATTTTATTGATAATATTGTCCACAAGTTGTTTAACTTCCTCATATAGTCCTGTTTTAATATGTTGACTGACCTTGTTTATGTAATCTGATTTGTCCATGACCGCTGTTGTATTATCCTTGTCCGATTTAGCGATCACTATGTTTTTGTCGTTTCTCAAGCATTTAGAGCTGCTATTTCGTTTTGTGATAAGTTGCTTTTTCCTTTCCTCTGATGTTTTAGTGTCAAAGTACATTTTGCTTTGACTTGTTCCGCAGAAGTTTTTCTATATTTCACTTGTTGCTGCTTCTATACGGGGAATGACGTCTTCAGATTTTAATCTGTTGACAGCCACGTTTAATCCTGCTCCTTGGTTATGGTGGAGGTATGTGGATAACACATTCCATCACTGTGTTGAAACCTCAACATATCCCTCATTTTTTCACACATATAAACTTAACTATAATTATTAGAATTGTAAGTTTCAGATAACAAATTTCGTTAATGGGTTAAAAACTAAATTAGGATTAAATAAGCAAGTTGAATGACGTAATCTACTTGACGTGGTTGAGTAGAGCTCAGCTAAAATTAAAACTGAACTAAAGTCAAGTTTACAACAGTGGTAATAAGGAGTAGAGATTTATTAAGGCGTGGGCGAAAAATATTATACGATTAAGAAACAAACAAGCAAGAAAAAGACGAAAAGCGTTACGTATTTGGTGTTAAGATAGGTCGAGTTCACTGTAGATTTAATGACTGAACAAACTTCATCTGTATTCAGAGTTCAGATTTTAATATGTGGATTGCCATTGCTTCTGTGGTTTGAACAAGTTTGATTAGTTATCTTTATGGATTACCGAAAGTGGACAAGAAAGATATACCTCTTCGACCCATTCTCGATATGACCAATTCACCAAATCATCGTACTGCCTAGTGGCTAGTAGACCTACTAGAACCAGTCAGACGGCAAATTTCCTGACACTTACTCCGAGATTCCTTCGATTTTGTCAATCCCATTGAAGACGTCAATGTTTCCAGTCAAACCATGTTCTCATTAGATGTGGTATCACTGTTTACAAACGTCCCACTTACCGAAACAATATGCTATATATGTGAAAATATTGACTCAAAGCAGACGAATATCACCATACCTACTGAATATTTGAAGGAATTCCTATTGAGATGCACCCCCAAACGTTCAATTCTCTTTCAGTTCAGTGAACTTGACCTATCTTAACACCAAATACGTAACGCTTTTCGTCTTTTTCTTGCTTGTTTGTTTCTTAATTGTATAATATTTTTCGCCCACGCCTTAATAAATCTCTACCCCTTATTGCCACTTTTGTAAACTTGACTTTAGTTCAGTTTTAATTTTAGCTGAGCTCTACTCAACCACGTCAAGTAGATTACGTCATTCAACTTGCTCATTTAATCCTAATTTAGTTTCTAACACATTAACGAAATTTGTTATCTGAAACTTACAATTCTAATAATTATACTTAAGTTCCTAGCCGATTAACGCTTTCTACATTATGTAATTTGTTAACTAAAATTTACAATTCTAGTGACGAATTCTTGAAATATTCATTTTGTTGTTAAGAAAATTAACTATATATATATATATATATATATATGTATATGCGGCTGTACAGCATGAGAATGATATCTCCGAAATGAGTAATTCTTCGCTGAACGTCTTTTCTTTTATATGACTCAATGGGAATTGTTTAGTTTGAAACAGGCAATAAAGGGAGATATAGGACTGAATGTAATGTAATTTCAAAGGTATATATATCCGTGTATGTAGAGTATTTAGCTGACGAGTTCTACCGAAATTTGATGAATTCATTAAATCCTGCCTTATTAACCTTTATTGCTTGTTTTAAATTCGTATCGGGAAATAAATGTTTCCAATTTTTTAGTTGCTGAAACGTTGCAAAAAACAGATTAGTATTAAAAATGACAACAATAATATAGAACTGAAAGCCTTTGTAGCACTACTGTATGAAGAAGGAACGTCAGAGGCCTTATGTAGGATTCTCAATGAGGCTAGAATGAGTCGAGGTGACATTTAAAGCAACCAACCAACTAATTCGCTCAGAGATAAACTTTGTCGGCTTGTGAACCCAATAGATCCAATTAAGAAAAATAAGATAATTAACCAAGTACTATATAATGATTATAACTGAGATCAATTACATCATAGGTCAAACTAGTAGATCGGGGTCAATTAGATTATTGGAATATGAAAAGTTAGCTTGACCTAGAATAATTGACCCTGATAAGTTCAATAACCTGGAAAAAAAACAGACCTCAGCCATTGCACTGCATTCACTTGCATGTAATCACAAAACAGGGTGAGTGGGGCAGGGCGAGAGAATTAAAAAGTAATGCAGTTAGGTGGAGTGTGAGAGAGGTTAATAACTGAAGCTTTGTTCATCGATTCAACACAGCACACGTACAATCAGAATGAGATATGGAAAATGGCAACAAACAGCAAAGGAAATTTGGAGATAAAAAGACAGTTACAGCGAAGAAAATTTTCTTTTCGACGAATTCATCATCTAGGCTGTACATTCGTGTATATATATCAAATGGATGGGAAAGTTCCAGAATAATTTCTGGTTAGGGGTCAAATTACTAAAAGTTACAATTAGGAATTTGAATGCCATAATAAACAGGGGGATGGGTGAAACTCAAACAAAGTAGCATAATAACTAAGAAGATTGACATTGTGCAATTTGGGGTTAGAAATGTAAAAATAACAAAATATACAGGATGTTTGGATAAAAAACGAGTGTGATGAATAATTGTTTATGCAATCAGGGATTAAATATGTAGAAATAGTAAAATGACAAAATAAACAGGAAGTGTGGATATGAAAGTATGGTAGTGTAGACAGGGATTAAGAAAACTTAAAAAAAAATTGAATAAACAGGAAGTTTAGATACGAAAGGCGATGGGATGGTCATTATTAAAAAATTTACCTGTTTATGATGGCCATGGCAGGGACAGGGGTTGGGCGTATTTCTTTTGGATACAAAGAGTGGGTTTGAGTTTTTGGATAGCTAACTCAAACCCGCTCTTTGTATCCAAAAGAAATACGTTAATCTCTTGAAACTTTTTGTATATTTCAGTTAATGTGAAAAAGCGCAAATGTCCAACTGAGGCAGAAGAGGAAATCCCCGAATGTCCATCTGAGGCCGAAAAAGAAAACCACGAATGTCCAACTGAGGCAGAAGAAAAAAGCCAAGTGGAAAAGTCTGTGGGAGATACAAGAAGTAAGACTCTGTTTATAGACGTGTTGGTTATGCATTCAATATGCTCTATTATTGTTTTTCAAAAATTTTATTTCTCTGCATTCCCAGTAGAATATGGAGTTTCAAGCTTCAGCTTTGATGTTTCAACAGCACAGTAGTGTTTCCTTTATAATAGATAAGGTTGTTAATCTCATGCCCCCAACCTCTCTCCTTTTCCGCACTTGATGCCACCTAAGTGAGGCGCTTACCATTTCGCTCCGTCCTCTTCTATCACTCTGAGACAAAGACACTGAAAGTGGAAGACATGCAAAGACTAGCTGTCTCTGACCATAGATGTTTACATTCTATCTCCAATGTTAGTTTAGGTGGTAGAATAGGGTGAGCGATAATGAAGTTAGGCGCTGAGTGTTAGGCAAGGAAGGGAAATCAATCGACGAGGCTGTGAAGTTGCATCGATGACTAATGTTAGCTGACTGATATCGGATGCATCAGGCTGGAGAGGAGCTAGCACGTGGTGGTCAAACCAAAACATGTCTTCATCAGTCAGTGGAATCCATTACAGTTTGTGTAAGGCGGCCACGTATGGAGGTGTAAACTTCCTGACTGAGTGGTTGGGGAACTCGGAAGCGTAAAGACTTATAGCTGGAGACAATTGGTGATATGGCTCCAAATGGTTCTCAGTGATATCTGGCGCAGATGTATTCACTATTTGTGATTTGTCATATATAATAAAACTCAATTGTTCTTCCATATTACTATTCTTTTGCCTCGTAGCTCTATTTATTATCTCTGTTTTGAAACTTTCTCTTCTCTCGCTTTGTGTGGTACAAGGAGGGAGTGTGGCAACTGAACTGCTGCACATATGTGTAAAGTTTTATATGGAAAAAAATCATTCAGTTAGTACTAGATCACATAGCAGGATTTTTGATTTTATTGATAATATTGTCCACAAGTTGTTTAACTTCCTCATATAGTCCTGTTTTAATATGTTGACTGACCTTGTTTATGTAATCTGATTTGTCCATGACCGCTGTTGTATTATCCTTGTCCGATTTAGCGATCACTATGTTTTTGTCGTTTCTCAAGCATTTAGAGCTGCTATTTCGTTTTGTGATAAGTTGCTTTTTCCTTTCCTCTGATGTTTTAGTGTCAAAGTACATTTTGCTTTGACTTGTTCCGCAGAAGTTTTTCTATATTTCACTTGTTGCTGCTTCTATACGGGGAATGACGTCTTCAGATTTTAATCTGTTGACAGCCACGTTTAATCCTGCTCCTTGGTTATGGTGGAGGTATGTGGATAACACATTCCATCACTGTGTTGAAACCTCAACATATCCCTCATTTTTTCACACATATAAACTTAACTATAATTATTAGAATTGTAAGTTTTAGATAACAGATTTCGTTAATGGGTTAAAAACTAAATTAGGATTAAATAAGCAAGTTGAATGACGTAATCTACTTGACGTGGTTGAGTAGAGCTCAGCTAAAATTAAAACTGAACTAAAGTCAAGTTTACAAAAGTGGCAATAAGGGGTAGAGATTTATTAAGGCGTGGGCGAAAAATATTATACGATTAAGAAACAAACAAGCAAGAAAAAGACGAAAAGCGTTACGTATTTGGTGTTAAGATAGGTCGAGTTCACTGTAGATTTAATGACTGAACAAACTTCATCTGTATTCAGAGTTCAGATTTTAATATGTGGATTGCCATTGCTTCTGTGGTTTGAACAAGTTTGATTAGTTATCTTTATGGATTACCGAAAGTGGACAAGAAAGATATACCTCTTCGACCCATTCTCGATATGACCAATTCACCAAATCATCGTACTGCCTAGTGGCTAGTAGACCTACTAGAACCAGTCAGACGGCAAATTTCCTGACACTTACTCCGAGATTCCTTCGATTTTGTCAATCCCATTGAAGACGTCAATGTTTCCAGTCAAACCATGTTCTCATTAGATGTGGTATCACTGTTTACAAACGTCCCACTTACCGAAACAATATGCTATATATGTGAAAATATTGACTCAAAGCAGACGAATATCACCATACCTACTGAATATTTGAAGGAATTCCTATTGAGATGCACCCCCAAACGTTCAATTCTCTTTCAGTTCAGTGAACTTGACCTATCTTAACACCAAATACGTAACGCTTTTCGTCTTTTTCTTGCTTGTTTGTTTCTTAATCGTATAATATTTTTCGCCCACGCCTTAATAAATCTCTACCCCTTATTGCCACTTTTGTAAACTTGACTTTAGTTCAGTTTTAATTTTAGCTGAGCTCTACTCAACCACGTCAATTAGATTACGTCATTCAACTTGCTCATTTAATCCTAATTTAGTTTCTAACACATTAACGAAATTTGTTATCTGAAACTTACAATTCTAATAATTATACTTAAGTTCCTAGCCGATTAACGCTTTCTACATTATGTAATTTGTTAACTAAAATTTACAATTCTAGTGACGAATTCTTGAAATATTCATTTTGTTGTTAAGAAAATTAACTATATATATATATATATATATGTATATGCGGCTGTACAGCATGAGAATGATATCTCCGAAATGAGTAATTCTTCGCTGAACGTCTTTTCTTTTATATGACTCAATGGGAATTGTTTAGTTTGAAACAGGCAATAAAGGGAGATATAGGACTGAATGTAATGTAATTTCAAAGGTATATATATCCGTGTATGTAGAGTATTTAGCTGACGAGTTCTACCGAAATTTGATGAATTCATTAAATCCTGCCTTATTAACCTTTATTGCTTGTTTTAAATTCGTATCGGGAAATAAATGTTTCCAATTTTTTAGTTGCTGAAACGTTGCAAAAAACAGATTAGTATTAAAAATGACAACAATAATATAGAACTGAAAGCCTTTGTAGCACTACTGTATGAAGAAGGAACGTCAGAGGCCTTATGTAGGATTCTCAATGAGGCTAGAATGAGTCGAGGTGACATTTAAAGCAACCAACCAACTAATTCGCTCAGAGATAAACTTTGTCGGCTTGTGAACCCAATAGATCCAATTAAGAAAAATAAGATAATTAACCAAGTACTATATAATGATTATAACTGAGATCAATTACATCATAGGTCAAACTAGTAGATCGGGGTCAATTAGATTATTGGAATATGAAAAGTTAGCTTGACCTAGAATAATTGACCCTGATAAGTTCAATAACCTGGAAAAAAAACAGACCTCAGCCATTGCACTGCATTCACTTGCATGTAATCACAAAACAGGGTGAGTGGGGCAGGGCGAGAGAATTAAAAAGTAATGCAGTTAGGTGGAGTGTGAGAGAGGTTAATAACTGAAGCTTTGTTCATCGATTCAACACAGCACACGTACAATCAGAATGAGATATGGAAAATGGCAACAAACAGCAAAGGAAATTTGGAGATAAAAAGACAGTTACAGCGAAGAAAATTTTCTTTTCGACGAATTCATCATCTAGGCTGTACATTCGTGTATATATATCAAATGGATGGGAAAGTTCCAGAATAATTTCTGGTTAGGGGTCAAATTACTAAAAGTTACAATTAGGAATTTGAATGCCATAATAAACAGGGGGATGGGTGAAACTCAAACAAAGTAGCATAATAACTAAGAAGATTGACATTGTGCAATTGGGGGTTAGAAATGTAAAAATAACAAAATATACAGGATGTTTGGATAAAAAACGAGTGTGATGAATAATTGTTTATGCAATCAGGGATTAAATATGTAGAAATAGTAAAATGACAAAATAAACAGGAAGTGTGGATATGAAAGTATGGTAGTGTAGACAGGGATTAAGAAAACTTAAAAAAAAATTGAATAAACAGGAAGTTTAGATACGAAAGGCGATGGGATGGTCATTATTAAAAAATTTACCTGTTTATGATGGCCATGGCAGGGACAGGGGTTGGGCGTATTTCTTTTGGATACAAAGAGTGGGTTTGAGTTTTTGGATAGCTAACTCAAACCCGCTCTTTGTATCCAAAAGAAATACGTTAATCTCTTGAAACTTTTTGTATATTTCAGTTAATGTGAAAAAGCGCAAATGTCCAACTGAGGCAGAAGAGGAAATCCCCGAATGTCCATCTGAGGCCGAAAAAGAAAACCACGAATGTCCAACTGAGGCAGAAGAAAAAAGCCAAGTGGAAAAGTCTGTGGGAGATACAAGAAGTAAGACTCTGTTTATAGACGTGTTGGTTATGCATTCAATATGCTCTATTATTGTTTTTCAAAAATTTTATTTCTCTGCATTCCCAGTAGAATATGGAGTTTCAAGCTTCAGCTTTGATGTTTCAACAGCACAGTAGTGTTTCCTTTATAATAGATAGGGTTGTTAATCTCATGCCCCCAACCTCTCTCCTTTTCCGCACTTGATGCCACCTAAGTGAGGCGCTTACCATTTCGCTCCGTCCTCTTCTATCACTCTGAGACAAAGACACTGAAAGTGGAAGACATGCAAAGACTAGCTGTCTCTGACCATAGATGTTTACATTCTATCTCCAATGTTAGTTTAGGTGGTAGAATAGGGTGAGCGATAATGAAGTTAGGCGCTGAGTGTTGTTGTTGCTGTTGTATTACCCTTGTCCGATTTTGCGATCACTATGTTTTTGTCGTTTCTTAATCATTTAGAGCTGCTATTTCGTTTTGTGATAAGTTGCTTTTTCCTTTCCTCTGATGTTTTAGTGTGAAAGTACATTTTGCTCTGACTTGTTGCGCAGAGGTTTTGTATTTTTCACTTGTCAGGGTTAGTGAGATTAGTGGAATATAAAAAGTTAGCTTGACCTAGAATAGTTGAACCTGATAAGTTCAATAACCTGGAAAAAAAACGGACCCTGGCCATTGCACTGCATTCACTTGCATGTAATCACAAAACAGGGTGAGTGGGGCAGGGCGAGAGAATTAAAAAGTAATGTAGTTAGGTGGAATGTGAGGGAGGTTAATAACTGAAGCTTTGTTTATCGATTCAACACAGCACACGTACAATCAGAATGAGATATGGAAAATGATAACAAACTGCAAGGAAATTTGGAGAGACAGAAAAACAGAAAAAATATTTATGTGACAAATTTTGAAACTGTGTGAGTAAAATTGATATGATTGTGAGCAATGATTTAAGCTCGCAACGTCATCCAGTTGTTCATACTGAAACGCTGTGTGATATTTAAAATAAACTGATGTAAAATGGAATTAGATGCTACCACAATGCCCAGGTTCTACACTTGCATTACTGTTCTTTTACTCTCACTCACAATTCTTTATGCTCTTCTTTTGATTTATATGTTATATGGAGAGTCGCATGTCGAACTCCTGAACATATCTTCAAAGTTCTATGTTGAAGTGAGTCTGTCAAGTAAAGTTATGGAGTGTGTTATTGGCGAACATTTTATGGCTGAGCCATTGGTGCCTTCCAATATGTTCCAAGGGCATACAATCAAAATCCTTTGAAACGATCTAAAAATACTAACCACTTTGTCTATTGTATTTGTGTGTAGTTTATAGTTACTTTGAAAACAGTGGAGTTTCTGAGCTCACCCAACTGTGTTAGTCCATCCATTGTATTTTCACTAGCCTCTTTCGATGTATTCAAACTGTGTTAATAAAAACGCAAAATATGAGGTCTAGTTTGTAGCTGATAGGAATGCAGTATGAGGGTAGAACTTGTAGTCCCGTGGACTCACAGTTTTCGCGTAATTGAATGTTCCTGTCAACAGCCTTTTGACTGTCTTATCCAAATTTCGCACCTTTTCTTTATTCGATTGTGTATTGAGGTGGTTTCCTATCTGCCAACTGTAAGAGGAATAGATCTAAAACAACAGTTGTCATTGTAATGACTAATTTGTATGACTCATGAAATATTTGAAAAGTTTCAGGAGTGTTTGTATCGTCTTATTTTATTTTTAATTTTTAGAAAGAGTCTATTGTCGACAATGTGACAAAGATTTTGCAAAGAAAAGTCATCTGAAGGAACACATTCGTGTTAAACATGAAGGTTAGTTTTTGAAAACACAATGAATGATTGTTTCTTTGTACGATACCGTTTTGCTTCACAACAATTTACAAAATCACTTCAAAGTTTACTAAATATTCAGTCACGTTAGAGGCGGATAAATTCAATGTTATGATAAGAAGACAAACCCCAATGGCTTTCACGTGTGTTTTTAGTTTTCATGGGTGAGGTTTATAACATTCTGGAGTTTGCTCTAAAGGACCTGGATGGTGATGGCGTAGATCTGTTTCTTGGAGATTTTGCGGCTTCAAGTATATAGACGATATCGTCTCACTGTGCGGTAGTATGCGGGCTGCCCAAATCGCACTTGATCAGTTGGCGGTCAGCGTCTGTAAGTATGCTATTTCCTTTGCGCCACTTAATTGCATAGTCCTGTTACAAGATTTACAGGAGCCTGCACTCACTCTCGCAGGTGGAGCGCTTGAACTTGTCAATAAGTCCATGTATATGGGTAGTTGTGTGGGTGCTGGCAGCAATGTGACTGTCGAGATTTCCAACCGTGTCATGAAAGTTAGAGTGGCATATGATAATTTGAGTCACCTCTGGCGCTGTCGCGACGTTAGCCTGACTGTGAAAGGTTGGGTTTGCAACGCCTTGGTGCGCACTATCTACCTTGCCCCTCCGAGCTGAGAATGTGTGGCAACTCTGTGTATTTGACCATCTCTGTCTCCGTAGAATTGCTTGGGTCCGATGGCATCATCGTATGGGTAATTTGGAGGTCCGACAGCATGTATTCGCTCACAGGAGACATCACCATTCGTTGATCGCCGTCATCTGGTAGCACCGGCTCCGATGACTTGGGCATGTTCTATGAATGTCATCCCAGAGGCTTCCGTACCGGTCTTTGTTCGCTAGCCCTGGGACGGGATGGGAAAAGCGGAGAGGTGATCAACCCATGACGTGCGGTCATGGGAGAGAAGATATTTGTGGTGGGTTAGCATTGGTTGGTACATCACGATTCCCTGTTTAGGGTCCGAGAGACAGTTGGAATCGAATGTGGCCAAAAATCGCAATCATCAACGGTGAAATTGCTACAATTTCCTTGTTTCTCCGCTTCCTAACAATAATTCGAGAAATGCTATTTGGTCTTGTTAATTATAAACTGCATCCTCTCGGGAAAAACTCCTTTATTCAATCCCTACCTATTTTTTAAGTATGTTGTTGTTTTGTTGTTACTGTATGGCTCATCTTGATGCCTATGCGTCCAACAATTGCCATTTTTCTTGACTTGAAGGCGGCCTTCGACTCCGTGGATCGAGAGGTACTATGGCAATGTTTGACTGTGAAGGGAGTGCCAAGAAAGTACATTGCACTAATCGAGGTACTCTACTCAAACTCACGTAGCCGTGTAGGGGCCTATGGGGAATTGTCATCCTAATTGTTAACAAGCAGTGGTGTCCGTCAAGGATGTCCACTTTCCCCTTTTCTGTTTAACTTCATCATAGATATGCTAATGGAAGTATCCTTAACTGAACTTAACGACTTAGGAATCGACTTGTTACCAGGGTATAGTCTTATGGACTTAGAATATGCAGATGACATTGTCCTGTTAGGGGAGGACGCTGACAAAATGCAGAGTCTTCTGAACACCTTGAGCAGCAATCTTCGTATGTTTGGCATGCGATTCGCCCCTTTAAAATGTAAGATGCTGCTACAGGACTGGACTACGTCTACCCCTAGCTTAGTGATAGGGAGTGAAGTGATAGAACATGTTGACCACTTCACCTATTTTGGAAGTTGTATCAGCACCAACGGATTGATTGGTGACGAAATCTCAGCATGGATCCAAAAAGCTCGGGCTGCTTTCGCTAACTTACACCATCTCTGGCGTAGGCGTGACATCCGGCTATCAACCAAGGGACGTGTGCACTGCTCAGCAGTTCGCTCCGTCCTTCTCGTTGGTTCTGAAACATGGCCAAAACGAGTTGAAGACATGAAAAGGTTGACTGTTTTTGATCATAGATGTCTACGATCTCTTTCTCACGTCAGGTGGCATAATAAAGTAAGTAATGTTGACGTTAGGCGTAGAGTGTTGGGCAAAGAGGGAAAATCAATCGAAGAGGCTATAAAGTTACATAGATTGAGATGGCTAGGTGACGTGCTGCGCATGCTCAACCATCGCCTCCCCTGACGGGCATTACTAGCTGATATAGGTGTTGTGGGTTGGAAAAGAGTAAGTGGTGGTCAAACAAAAACATGGCCTCATCAATCCATGAACTCCCTGACAGTTAAACTGAGTCAGGTAGGGAGATGCAGACTTCCGGGTTGGGGCCCGCCCTCGGGACTCTAAAAATCAATGTCTGGAGACAATAGGTGACATGGCTCAAACTCATCGTTGTCAATGGCTTACGCAGATGTATTCAGTCTCTGTAATCTTTCATATTCCTTTCTGCCATTACTCATTCTGTTTCACTCTTATACCTGTCAAAACTCTATTGATTCTCTTCTCTCCTTTTCCTGTCTACCTTTGTGTGCTCTTTGGAACGTGGCAACTCGAACTGCTGCACTTCGGTGCCAAGTTCTATGTTGAATCCAGCCAGCCAGCCAGCGTTGATGCCTATGTAGCAACAGGTATTGTGTTTCAAATACATAAATAATTATTACCTCCTGTTACGATGTTATCAGCCCACTGCCTGCCTTCTTCGGGGGATATTTTCGGGGGTTAGAGAGTAGGCGAGGCATTTTCCTATGTTCAAGTTTACTTGGGGTATACATGAAATTGTTTTGATTGCTGTATGACGTAATACTTCTTGATATACTGTGTTTATTGCATTTACTCAATAGGTAAAGCCTACGAATGCGTAACCTGCCATAAGAAATTGCAAACACATAAAGGACTTCAAATACATCGAAAACTTCATGAAGGTAGGTGAAGATGTTGATTTCTTTAGTTTTTTTCAACTTCATTATGTGATTTGTTGTTTTTACCATAGTTTTCATTTTTTGTTTCACTCTTAATATTGTTATTGCTGAGTTAATGTGGTTGATTAGTTAAAGCGTTCGGCTGCTTTCAGCGTACGTTTCCAAAGTGTGTATTTGGTTTCACCTAATTCTAATTGATTAAAAATGCCCATTAAAATTTTCAAAAGAATAGACACTGAACAAAGAGGACTCTTTTCGATAAATTCATCATCAGGTTCTACAATTATATATACATTATAATGAATGAATGAATTAGTCTTATGAACGACATTAATGTTTAAATAACATCAAATCAATAATATTGATAAATTACAGCTGAACAGCATCAACGTCAAATAAACTGAATGTCAGAAGATGTAGGAAAGGTAATAGTACAAATTCATGAGTTTATAGTCTCTACTGAGGGCCGGCCAGGGCAGTAGTAGGGGCTGGACTTGTTTCTTTTGGACACAGAGCACTGATTGTTTGAGGCGAATTGCAATAGCCTCTGTTGTTTGTAGTAAGCGGTGCTTCGACGATTTTGGTAGTTTGTTAGGCACCCGGTATATTATGGAGAAGGATTCGTCTACGCTGGCTTTGTGACCAGTTTGCACCAGATGGTCTAATATCGAGCTGTTGATAGTTTTAACTACACCTTTACTTAGCCATAGTGGGATATGTTCTCGAGCACGAAAAATCAAGTTCCTAGAGCAACGGCCAACATAACTCGCTCCACAAGCGGAGTTGAATTGATAAATACAATTTGAAGTGGCCAGTCTAGGTACTTCATCTTTCAGTCGAGGTTGCACCATCGGTCTTGTAGAGAATAATATGTGTAGTTCGCCAGCATTAAAAGTCCTTTGAACTGCTTTTCTTAATTTCTTTGTAATTAACTCACTTGGTTTATCGCCCTTGAATTGTAGTCGTATATAAAGGGGCTTCTTGTTTACAGATAGTGGGTAGTCCTTTTCGGCCTTCTTCGTCGTATGTTTCTTGATAAACTTGTCAGGATAACCATTTTCAATTAAAGTATCATATACAATGTTTAATTCATCTTTAATTACTTCTTCAGAGCATATAGCTCTAACTCTGTGGCTAAGGGTCTTCACCAAATTCCTTTTGTATTTGATGGGAACGAAGCTATGAAAGTGTGTATATTGTCCCGTCCAAGTACTTTTTCTATGTAAATTTCTTTTTATGCTTCCGTCTGGTTTTCTTGTAAGTAGGACATCGAGGAAGGCAATTCTTTCTTGGGATTCCTCCTCGCATGTGAATTTCATAGCCGGATGTACTTCACTGAATTCAGTAATTATTGTACTCTTATCGGAACCATTATCACAAAGAATAAAGGTGTCATCCATATATCGGCAATAAAATGAGAGATTACTGATAAGGTTGTTCAGAGGTCCATTTTCTAGCTTACTTAGAAAGAAATCAGCCAGAATTGGACCTAATGGGGAGCCCGTTGCCACCCCGTCCACTTGCCTGTAAAGCGTGCCGTCAAATTTGAAGTTTACATTCATAGTACATCTTAATATCAATTCTTTTAGGATTTCAATATGGATTCCAATGTTTATCGACTGCTTGTCCACTTGTTCACATATATAATTAACTGTTTCTATAAGAGGTACTTTTGTGAATAACGATGTTATGTCCAGAGATATCATGGCTTTATCCTTGATATTAATGTCTTTTATTTTGTCTACGAATTCAAATACATCTTTGACGCTATATTTCACTATCTTCTCATGCAATGGTTTGAGAATATTTACTAACCATCTAGCTAGACCATGGTAGGGCGAATTTTGCATATCAAGTATTGGTCTTAACGATACCCCTGGTTCATGCACTTTGGGTAGGCCATACAATCTTGGCAAATACGTGCCCGTTGGTCTGATTTCTTCAAATAAACTTTCGGAAATTATCTGCTCCTCCCTTAGTTTCTTCAAACGTCTGGTTAATTCATTCTCTAATTGATTGAATTCAACAAAGAACTTTGCACACTTGTGCAGCAGCTTGAGTTGCTACTCTTCATGTACCACACAAAGCAAGAGAAGAGAATAAAGAGAGATAATCAACAGAAGTGGGAATGAAGCAAAAAAGAATGGTTACATGGAAGAACAATTGAGTTTTATTGGATATGACAAATCACAGAGTGAATACGTCTGCTCCAGATATCACTGAGAACCATTTCGAGCCATATTAACTACAATTGTCTCCATCCATTGGTTATTGGAATCTAGAGGACCCCAACCTCTCGACGTGGTCGGCTTAAACAAACTGTAATGGATTTCATTGACTGATGAAGACATTTTTTGGTTTGACCACCATGTGCTAGCTCCTCTCCAGCCTGATCCATCCTATATCAGTCAGCTAACATTGGTCATTGATGCAACTTCACAAACTCTGTATTGAGTGACCAGTGTTGATTATATGTTCAATTATAGTAATCCTTATTGATCAACTGTTACCTATTCGTAGTCATGCGGGTAATGTCCTTTCACTCTTTTAGAGTAAACATGCATCGATTGACATATATCTTGCTCCACATAAACAAGCAAATTGGACGTCTTTTGTATTATGTAATCCTAGTCAAGACTTACCAAACTTCACCTCTCCCCTACTCTCGCCATAGTTATAATTTGATTATTCATCACACACATACAAACCAAAAATAATTATGCATCATTGCGATTGTACAGCTAAGTGAATGAATTCACCGGCGAAAAGAGACTTTTCTCTGAACTGGTTGCTCTTACACTCATATTTGTTAATTGTAGGTGGTTGGTAGTATCATAGCCAAAGCGAGGAGATGTTAGGGGTGCGGGGAGGTAAATGTTCCTGTGCATATTTAATTTTCTTTTTTTATTTCCTTCACGTTCCCCAGTGGAACATAAGGCTTCAAGCTAGTGACTTGAAGTTTCTGTAGCAGTGCTTATTTTACAGGATGGGGTTGCTAGCCTCATGCCCAACCTTTCCTCTTCACCAGCATTATTTCTGGCTTAGCGAGGTAAAGGAGTGCGTCGGCTGGGGATCGAACCCCGAAGCATGTGTATGGTCGGCGAGCATCCTAACCACTATGCATATTTAATGACAAGTGAAATTTTTCCTGTCTGTTTTTATGCATCATTTTAACAAACCAAAACTATAGAAAATCATTTTAACTTCTTACTTCTGTTTTAGATATCGGAATGAAATGTGGAGAATGTGATGAACGGTTCACATATAAGTCAGACTTGGATAGACATTACAGAGCACTTCATACAAGTGAGTGAGTGAGTGATGCTGCTGCTGTTGCTGCTGCTGATGATGATAGTTTGTGTGATTATTATTTGTAGAAATTTTGCTTAACGTTTAAATTTTATTGAATTCTTAGTGTCTACAGTGATGAAAAGTTCCTTTTGCCATTTCACCTTCTGATGTTAGTTAGTTAGTTTTACTGTTAGTCCTCACAGATTTACAAAAGCTGGTTTACTTTTCATCAGCCAAAATAAAACAAAACAAAATTTCATACATTTATTCTCCTTTATGAATTTGAATAAAGCTAAAACAACAGTGATATGTGAAGAATAAAATGCCAGCATCATTGGTTATTTCGTTGGCTTCTCATCAGATGCTTAAAGTCTAAAGATATTATGAAGTTTATGTACTTGCCCGGAGAGTTCAAGTTTAAACAAAAACATCAATGTATACTTACAATGGTAATAATAATAATAATCGCTTTATTCCAAACAATGATAATCATACAGAATGGGATTTTCAGCGTTGCGTTATCAAATGAAAGAGAGAATAAAGACATCCTGTTAATTGCCAGAGAAAGGAAAGACTGACAACTGCTTCTTTCTAAACACCTAAATCAGGTTTTAGACGTCTGATGGAGATTGCTTCGACAAATTTCAGGAGAATTGAGTTCTTTTGTCTATTGTGATGTCCACCTCATGACCCGTGTGATGGAGATGCCTGACAGTGGCATGATTGAAACCGTTTGTCGCCTTAAAAGCTAGGCATTTTGGTACATGTCCATAAAATCGGAGGTGTGCCATTCTTTGTGTTCTCCCAATGTAACTGCTCCCACAGATACATATAAAGGGAGAGCATAGGTATGTATATGGCTCGTTAATGGAACATGTAGTGAACTCAGGAAACTCAGATCTATTTGGAATGTCCTTCAAAGTCCTATACAAGGCTCGATCCAACCTATCAAGGTAACTGGAGTTAACTGACGCACTAGCGATCCAAAAGTTCAAGCCCATGTTATGCGTTCAAGAGAACTGAGTCCAATCATTGTCCCTACCATGACCTCCAGAAAAAGTCATTCCTCTTAATCATAATTATCGTATTACCTTATCTAATCTTCTGTTATTTTCATGTTTTTTAATTCCTACTATCTGCATAACCATGTTTTTTATCCGAACTTACTGCTCATTTTCTTATTGAAGCGCTAGAAGACGAAAGATCTTCGTGTTGTGGTACTTCTGGACTTCGTATTGTGTTTCCTTGTGTTCTTTTCTCGTCTCTTATGTATCCTGACAACGTTGTATCATTTGCTTTCTTTGACATCAAATGTATCTTCATGCTATTTGATGTTTTATGCCGATGAACGTCTCTTTATACACTATCGATAAATCTTATCAGTAGCACTCGCCACGTTAATACTACGTTAAGTTTCTCAATAATTATGATCCTACTATGTCCTTTTATCTCATCCTCCTGTTTAGTACACTTTGTAATTTTAATAATTTTACCCTTGACCGGAAATACTTCAGGAGCCTTCTCACCCATTTACTCTATAAATACACGAATGTACTACAGCCTAGTTGATGATTTAGTCGAAAAGAGAATTTTCTTCACTGCAACTGTCTTTTTACTATTTTCTTTATTCAATAAGTCAGCCATTCGAATCGTGCTGTCTACTTGAAATGAGCTGTTGTCATTAATGTATTATGGTTGTAATGTATATATGATTGATTATTGAACAGATAACTACAGTACGTGTGAACAGTAGTATTTTTTGTTTTTTATCTTGCACAGGTTTAGAGTATAACTGTGACCACTGTGAACAGACATTTAGTTGGAAGGCGACTTTAAATGAACACATACGCTCTGCACACAAAGGTAAGCACTTTTTTCTGCCTTTCTTTTCATAACCATTCTAAGCAAAGTAATCTCTTACCGTTATTATTATTATTATTTCAGTATTTGCACTAACTTCAAAACACCAAATTAACTAAATTTATTTCAAATATCACACACAGTGATGATACAGTATTAGGCACTGGATGATGTTTCATAATCATATATAAATTTAGTCACACAGCCTCACAATTTGTCTTTTATCTTCCGCTTGTTGTTTGTTGCTATTTTCCATATCTCCGGTATAAGTGTTGCGTCATCCCGATTGCATTTGTATGGTGTTGAATGGATAAACAAAGTTTCAGTTATTAACCTCTCTCACACTCCACCTAACTGCATTACTTTTTAATTCTCTCGCCCTGCCCCACTCACCCTATTTTGTGATTACATGCAAGTGAATGCAGTGCAATGGCTGAGGTCTGTTTTTTTTCCAGGTTATTGAACTTATCAGGATCAATTATTCTAGGTCAAGCTAACTTTTTATATTCCAATAATCTAACTGACCCTGACTTACTAGTTTGACCTATGACGTAATTGATCTCACTCACAGTCATTACATGGTATTTGGTTAATTATCATATTTTTTTTAATTGGATGTATTGGGTCCACAAGCCGGCAAAGTTTATCTCTTAGTTCATCCGTTGGTTGGTTGGTAGGTTGTAATGCCACTCTAATTTCAACCTCATAAAGAATCATACATAGAACCTCTGATGTTCCTGCTTTATAAATCAGTACTGCAGAGGCTTTGAATTCCACATTATTTTCTTCGTCACTCTTTTGTCCTTTTCAATATTAATCTTAGATTTTTTCTATGGTTCTTCTTTATATTTTTCTAAATAAATTCTGCTCGAAACCTTGTCATCCAGTTGTTAATACTGTATCATCATCATTGTGTGATATTTGAATTAAACCTACTTAATATGGAATTATATTGTACCATAGTGCCCAAGTTTTAAACTTACATTATTCTAAACACCTAAGGCTTATCGACTATAGACTACTATTGTGTCGTGGAGGTTAGGTGTTTTGCAGTGTTGTATGAGCTCAGTGGAGAAAAATAGTAATCAAAAAGTCATAATTGTATAGGGAAACCGTCTAGTTGTTGATTTCTTTAATCCATTTTGCCCTTATGGAATGATTCTGAATAACAACAGTTCAGCGCAAAATATTGCATAGTGTTGGTGGTATCTATCTATGTTGGCACACTTGAAGGAAGGATAGTTCAATGAATAATGGTGTTTGGGATTGCAAATATTATGGGACGGATACACATAAATCGAAGTAAATTATTCAGAGACGTGTCACACAGAGTCCTTAACCAATGAATTTTGTGGACTTTGATCAAAATTAACTTGCATCTACATATGTGTTTGAGATGATCAGGAGAGTTTCATGTGCTTTCGGAAGTGTGTACCTCCCGGCTGCCCATATGTTTGGCATGCGGTTCGCCTTTGTCAAATGTAAAATGATGCTACAGAACTGGACTACATCGATTCTTAGCTCTTAAAGATAGGGAGTGAAGTGATCAGTAGAGCGTGTTAATCATTTCACTTATCTGAGAAATTGCATCAGGCTGGTCGCTGACAACATTTAAGTGCGGATACAAAAGGTTGATGTGGCGTTTGCCAAAATATATTATTTGTGGCGCAGGTGTGATATCTGGCTGGCTGTCAATCAAAGGACATGTCGACTGCCTAGCAGTTCACCCCGTCCTCCTTCGTGGCTGGCTGTGAGATGTGGTCATTGAAAGTGGGAGACCAAAGGTATCTGCGTGCTTCTTCCCGTGTTAGGTGGTGTAATTTGGTGAGTAATATTGATTTTAGGCGTTGAGTGTCAGGTTAGGAGGGAAAATCAATCGACGAGGTTACATTGATTGAGACGGTTAGGACGAGTTTTACTCATACCTATCCTAGCCATCGCCTTCCTCGATGAACAATTTCAGCTTACTGATATAGAATGAATAAGGTTGCAGAAGAGCTACTACATGGTGGTCAGATCAAAACATGTCTTCATCAGTCAATGAAATCCATTGCAGTTTGTTTAAGCCGGCCACTTCGGGAGGCGTGGACTTCCTGACTGATTGGTTAGGGTCCTCGGGAAGGCAAAGACTGATGGCTGGAGACAATTGTTGGTGATATAGCTCAAAATAGTTCTCAGTGATGTCTGGCACAGATGTATCCACTATTTGTAATTTTTCATATCCAATAAACCTCTCTTCTTCTTCCATGTTACTTTCCTTTCCTCCCTCACGTTTCTGCTTATTATCATTCTTCCGAATACCTTTTTTCTCTTTTGTCTTCCTTTGTATGCTGCATGCAGAGTGGCAACTTGAATTGCTTCGCTTCTGTGCAAAGTTCTCTGTTGAAACTATCCGGGCTATCAGTCAGGATAAGACTATTTTTGGTTAATAATTATGTGTCATGTTTAAGCATGACCGTGACCATGCTCAACTAATTTCTGACTAGTGGTTTGGTTTCTTCAATGTATGTGTGTCTCGACGCCAACTCGAACATTCAAGACTAGTTATCCTATCTGCTAACAGATATCTTCCTCGCATTGTATTCTACGCTCAAATCTTTCTGTATCTGAGAACATTATTAGCACTGACATAGTAACACCATTGCCTATCTTGTGGTAAAATTTCACATCACTGTGTGGTTGCTTACAGTTATTAATTAAATAGCTTTTCATTACTCTGTTTTTATTCTTTTTTAAACAATAAGGTGTATATTTCGAGTGTGATGAGTGTGAACTGTCGTTTGTTCGAAAGTGGAATTTAGAAAAACACAAGAGAGAAGTACATGATGGTGAGTTATGTCATAGTATGATTGTGAAGAATATATATATATATATATGTTAATGAAGAGCTGGTGTTGCGTTATTGTGCTCTAAGAAACCAGTTAGTTAAACTGTTTGAACAGATTTGAGCTTGCTTTCAGTTAACTTCAACTAGAAATAACGCTCATAATTACTGTGTTGCCATCTTTCCTGTAGTACCTGAGCTTTAGCCATACTATCTGCTGACTGATTCTCTAGCCTGGACCACCTAACTTGGTAGTCAGGCTGTTCTTAACACAGTCCCAGCTAGTGAAGGGAGAATATAACTCTCATGACTACTCAAAATTGTATCTATTAGCGATGACAGGAATAGACTATAGAGGTACACAATTACACCACAACGCCACCGCTAACCTCTTGTCCCTTGAAAATGATACTGACCACCATGTGTTTCAGTCTGCACAGAAAAATGAATTGATCGTTGACAGTGAAATGTCTAAGACTCAATTGACTTCACGAGCTTCTTTGATCCCCTACACTGTTACATGCGTTGAATGTTGATGCGGTGAACAAAGATTTTTTTCAACTAAACTCATCAACCCTAGACTTACACTTATTTGTTTAATTGTATGCATTGCATACACAACGTGGTAACATAATTTATTTATTATTAGTATTATCAGTATTTTATTCCTTTACTTTCCGAGTGGAACATAGGCCTTGAAGCTAGAACGTTGAAGTTTCGGTAGCAGTAGTTTTATTTTTACCGGGTGGAGTGGCTAGTCTCACGCCCAACCTTCCCTATCTACTGGCTTTATTACCGGCTTAACGGGGTTTTATGAGTGTGTCGTGCGAGGATCAAACCCTGGACCGCGTGGGTGATTGGCGAGCGTTCTGCAGCTGATCCACCAACGCATGGTGACCTAATTAAACATTATTAGTTGAATCTACCAGATACCATTTTATCACTGTGAGGTCAAATAAACAGGTTAGTCAGACCAGTAAATCGGGATCACGCAATACCACTTATAGATATATGGAAACTTTCCATTAAGACGATTCACCGAAGGTGACTTTTTCAATGAATCTTTTACCGAGCTGTACCATCATGTATATACCATTCAAAAGAATAGATATGTAAGTTGCGATAAAGTATTTGTGATCCCAATCATAGTTAAACATTAAGGGGTTAAATCGGTTATGTAATGCGAAAAGTAGTCCATGTAATTTATAAGTCTTAAAAAGGGGTAATAAAATATTTCATAACTAGGTGTGAATTTTGTCAAAAAGATTGCGGAAAATCACTTGGAATTGAACAAATGAAGGGTGACAAGGGAGATAGCATCGGAAAGTTTTCTAAGTGTAAATAATAATAATAGTAATAAAAATAGAAATCATAAAGGGTAGATATGCAGACTGAATAAACAAAACCAAAAATAGATAGGGCCAAAGCTGGAATGAAGATTAGCATAGATTAAGACCATAAAAGAGAATTTGAACTGATATACCCACAACAATTTGGTCATACATGGGATTTTGTCTGGCGAATTAATTAAAAGCAAAGAACGACTAGAATACTTCACCCTCAGAGTTGTTATAAAGAAGGCCTTCTTTAGAAAGTTAAGGATTTACCTTTTAATACATGTGGTGCTTACTCCCCTTCCTCTGGAAGTCAGGGTTAAATGTTGTTAAATGTTAAATGTTGTTAGCAGGGTAAGCAACGTGCCACTTAATCAGCTTGTTAATATTCTGGTCGACAGGCACATGGACTCATGTGAAAAATGGGCCAAATCCATTTTATCTAACTCACACCACCCTCTTCACTCACAACTCTCCCCTTGCATCTCATCAGGTAAAACCAGAAACCTATATAGAAAACTGTATGCTCGCACCAGCAAGTACAAAAACTCAACTATACCCTACTTAGCTCGTGTTCTGTGTGATAAAGAAAGCATTAGGCGTGACACCTATAGTTCATTAAATAGTCGGCAGTAAAACTAGATCTCGTCTTTCCAACCCACATCATCAATAGGTACAACATTTTCTTTCTTTCTGTTCCTTTTCTCTCTCTTCTTTTTCCGTTATGTGCTGCTTTGTCTCTTTCTCTCGCTTACGCCAGTTAATAAGGCAGCTCCCACTTTTCTAACACCTTCAAACACTATTTCAGCTTTACCTTTGCTACTGACATGCCAATGTATTGTTGTAATAATGAACTGTGGTTTCCTCAATCTATGTAGAATTCTATTTATTGATAATGTACTAACTGAATGCAATACTGTAGTAAAAATGCTGAGAATTCCATTCTGTATCACAAGTACTGTTTTGGAATAAAGCAAATTATTATTATTTATTTAGTGAGCAGGTGAAACGATGAGAACTGTCTTTATTGACTCATAGATGTCTAATTATAAAAATTAGTAATGTTGACTATTCATTCATAGTTCTCTTTTCGTCATTTCGACATTCTAATCAGTCCCGACCGATAACTGCTACCTTGCCGAGGTGGTCGGGCTTGAATGCCGCAGTGACCCAACAAGCTAAACTGGCTGGAACTCATGTCCCTGCAGGTCCTACCATGTCGAGAAGGTTGTTTGGATAGCGGTTAAACTAAAAGCAGTTACCATGAGGTACATGGGCTCCAGAATTCAATCGGATCAAATGGCGTATGAACCCGTATGGGTCACCGGCAACCATGGGAACGCAGCTCCTGACGCTGCTCCGCTGCCTTGCGGGTTAGACTCCAAGTCAAAGGCTCGGGGGGTGGTCCCTTAGGAAAACTACCTGCTTCGGTCTGGGCTCCCGGGCAGTATCTCAGCCCTCACACAATATTCATAATGGATAAGATTTTATTTTGATAAATCACACAGTGTTGTACAGTTATATTGTGTTGCGCATCTTTCTTGGTGCCATATTGTACCAAGTTTTTCTGCTTATAAATAAATAAAAATAAATAATAAATACATTCTAATCAGTACTTTCGGTACAAATATGGAATTTTTAGCATGTAATACAATGTGTATATAATCCGTTGAGACTATACAACTAGCTGTTGAGAGTGGAATCACTGTCAAGTTGTCTTTACCGAACATCGGTTAAGATTGAAACGTCATCACCTTGTGTTAAATTACATAAGCTTATCGTATAGAGTTCATGGCCGACTTTCACCCATATTGTAAAGTCTAAGTGGTGATTACGTACAATAAGGTTGAATTGAGAAACAAAGTGAAACCAAATCAAATGAAGCTGAGCTTTAGAGATGACTATTGGATTGTAAAGGTTGTTTACTGTGAAACATCAATTGTGTGAATTTGACTGTGAGATTATCCCCAGTATAGGATTCACAGCTATCTATTTGTCCAGTTATACATATATTTGTAATTGATTTAATTAATTTACAGAGATGACTTATGATTTAAGTACCGAAGTCTTGAAGAATACCATGAATAATAATAATTTGCTTTATTCCGAAACAATACTTATATGACACAACGCGTAATTCTCAGCATTTGGTACGATATTATTGCATCCAGTTTACTTAACAACAACAAAACCAAAAATAGAAAAAAATATTACAGGATTGATATTGGCAGTTTATTTTGGTATTAACAGTGACAATAAAGTCAAAAACAGACACAGAAAGTGTGTAATAATGATGATAATAATATTAATAACTAAAATTATAAGTTGATCGATATAGTCTTACCATAGATTACAAATGAGAGAGAATGAAACCGCCGATTAGTTTGCTAATTACATAGTAAGTCGTGGGTTTCAAGTTTAACACTATATCCCTCACATAAAACGCCGATCAAATATGGTATCGTTGAGTTTTCGTACTTCGTTGTACGAGCATGTAATCTTTTACGATGGCTTCTAGTCCTGACTGATGAGATGCAAGGAGTTGAGAGTAGACAGGGTGAGACAATAGGGATTTAGACCATTGCTCACGTGACTTATTGTGTCTGTCGACTACAATAGTAACGAGCTAAGTGACACACCACTTACCCTACTGGTAACGCTTAACACCCTTCACCATATGACATAGTAGTTTTTGACTAACCCAGGAAAGACTATGGGAGCAGTAAAGTATAATAGGTAAATTGTGAGAGTTAGGAAACTGTGAAAGTAGAGGTTAAGGGATTCCAGATTATCTTACCTTTTTAGTGTAAAAGGTGGTTAGATGGGATATGTTCTGAAAAATATAAACAGTAGAACTGGAGACGAAGAAAGGCTAGAGGGTAAGACCTATTCCAAAGTATTTAATGCTGTTTCTATTTGTGTCATAAAGGCGACGTCAAAACGACACACACTGACTGATACTCATCAGAGTTCATTGCCAGATTCAGTGTTATCCTCTATCAACAGTTTTTATATCGATACTGTTATGATGCCAGATCTTTTGTCACGAGGTCACTGCTTAACTACTGACCAGTGCCCACTTAACTGGTAAAGCAGAACACGCGAGAATCAGCGGTTAAACCAGGTTCATTTATTATGATATAAGTGACTGTATTTATACAGAAAATAAGGTAGACTGGAAATCAACCAATCCGGTTGAGAGTTTGAATTGTGCAAGCGTCCAATCAGAAGCAGGAACAATTGCATGTCAACGACTTGTTAATAACGCGATAATAACTTGACTGAGAGATGATAATGACCTGATAATTGCATGTGTTTTGCCTCTTCCTAACAGATTCATATTGCATTTGTAATCAACGTTGAAAGGTGATTTATGCCAACCTTACCATCTTTTCATAATACACAAATTTGTTAAGCTTAGACTGTATAAACTAGAACAAATGAATGAGGAATGGTGCAGTTGCATCTCCACATCTTCAACACTAGAAAACAGCAAATAGTTGTCAGTTGACTTCGAATTCACTCATTTTTCATTTCACATTTTTACACCTGAATAGGTTAAGGTATTATTTCTTTAGGCGTTCCTATTGTTACTATTATTATCTGTATACGTCGAATATTTCCACAATCGTGAATGCGATAAAACAATTTTATTGTAAAAATCTTTTATAGTCAACACATGGACAAAGGTTAGTCGGTGTAGTACATATGCATCAGAATAGAAGGCGAAATATTATGAGTCAGCATTTCTCACGTGATCGATATGCCGAACATTCGATCCCACACAACCTAGTCTGAAGGTCCAAGCCATTGAATTAACCAGAAGGTCCTGGGTTCGAACCCCGGTGGGTGCGTACTGATGAAGAGTCCCAAACTAGGACGAAACGGCTGTCCACTACTCCTAATTTGTTTTCCAATGGTTCTCTAACCAGTGTCAGCTCATGATGAAGTCCTGTAACCATTGAATTTCTATTGGCAAATACTATCCGATCAGAACACTGCTCGTATATCTTGAACCTTGTGATCTATTGGTGATGTAAAAATTAACTGTAATTTTCTAGTTTTACTAACCTTTCTCTGGAGTAATAAATCTGTGCCCTCTGAGTCAATCTCCTGTATCTTCCTCAGTGTAGGAAGAGTATTTGAATGATTGATTAGCCATATTTTGTCATTCATTGGTATTAGTAATGTGCTAGTAGAGATAAGATGATTCGAAGAGAAATCTGGAGAATTAGTTCACTTGTTTCTCCATTTCTACCAGAAAGTCAAGCTACCAAGTAGATTCACCCGTCCTTACAATGGGACTGATTTCTTGTAACTTTTGACACTTAAGTTTTTATTAGGCACATCACAGTTTATTAAGTACAGTGCGTAACTGATAGATAAATTTTGAAGAAGATATACTGAGGGAGACTCTGCAAATTCTCACAAGATGAACCACCTAATTCAGTCTCGTCTGTGCATACTTAAAAGTTCTACTGTTTATTTACTTGGAATTTGATATTTCTATATACAGGGGAATTATGTAGATCTTTTTTGAAACCGCACAGATTTTCCATGCTCTGCTGCTGCTGCTACCTTTTGTATTGTGTTTTCTTACATTCTATCAATGTCTTACGTTTTCTCTGCAGCACTGGTTCATCATTTCCTCTCCTTGACATAAAATCTGTCTTTCCGCTCTTTGGTTGCTTTTATGCAGTTGGACGTCTCATTATATACTACTAATAAATCTTGTTAGTAGCACGTGCCACAATATGACGTTATTTCTAATTCTTAAAAAAATTATCGGCAGAGTTATCAATTGACATTGTACACCTTCGTTGCATTTTTTATCATTTGAATTTCTCACTTTATATCGGTAAGAAAAAGTTTCCTTTTCACAATATCCGTTTTTGTTTATTTTGTGTTATTCTCTGTTGTGTTGTTGTTGTATATAGGTGAAAAATTCAATTGTCCCCAGTGCGATAAAACATACTCCACTAAAAATTTCCTTAAGCAACATGTACAGGTGCATCATAAAGGTGAGTGATATGTGCATGTGTGTACGTGTGTGGGTGTGTTTATTCATGTCAACACTTGTACTGACCGAACTGTTTTCTTTTTTGTTATGTTGAAATGTATTGCATAATCACTCAGTCAGTTGACTTAGAGATTTGCTTATTGTATGACTAACTGATTGATTGATTGATTAAACGTGTTAACCAGCTGAATTGTCATCTATAACACATCAGACTTGAAATAAAGAATTGTTAAGCAAGAAGGTGATCTGTAAACCAGACATTTAAAGGTGATGTCAATGGATTTATATTGATTATTATTATTCTTTTGGGTGGAACAATGGGCATCAACAAGATATCTCCATTTTGGTCCGATTCTCTTCAGTCTTTAGCTGTCACCATGACTGCCCATAAGCTTTAATCCCCATGTGATCCTTGCACTGATTTCCAGTTCGTCATATCTCATTTGGGTTCCACTGGAGCGATGGTCTGGCATGCGATGTTACCCAGTGGTCTCCTAAGCGTGTGTCTTATCCATCTCCATTTCCTCCAGTATACATATTAAGCAATAGGTTCTCACTTGTTGATTCGTTCCCAGAGTTTCTTGTTGCTAACTCTTTGTGGCCATCTGATCTGCAGTATGGAGCTAGCGAAGGCAACTGTTGATAAAAGTTTGCATTAGTCTGTTGGAAGTCCTTGTCATGATGTGCCAAGCCTCTAACCCATACAGAAGAACTGACCTAGAATTGTTATTGCAAATTGTAATTTTTTTCTCTATGGTGAGTGTAGCAGATTTCCAGAATGATTTCAAAGTGATCAAGGTGTGCCTTGCTTTCCCGTTCTGATTTTGACATTCTCATCCTTACTGGCTGCCTGGTTTTGAAACGATGCTTCCTATTTAAATGAAGGAAGTAATCTCCTTCAAGTTTATTCCTCTGATAGTGATTGTTGGTTGCTTGATTATCTTCATCACATTTTTCTTTTCTATGTTTACTTGAAGTCAACGTCTTCGCTGTATGCTTCTTCTGTCAACTTGTTGCTTTTGCGTGTAGGTCTTCGAATTTATATGACCTTACAAGTATATCGTCCGCGAAATCCAGATCTTCTCGAGTCTTATCGGCACAATGTATTTTTGTCTTCTCGCTCCTGACATACGGTCTTTCTCATAATCCAGTCCATCTCGAGTACAAATATGATCGGTGTTAATAGGCAGCGAGCTTTGTCATCCTCGTGTATTCACTTCAAACGCTTCTGAGTTTTCAGTTGTAGTTCACGTGACATGTGTCAGTGTCATGTAGCTGTTGAAGGAAATTGATAAAGTTTTATGACACTGCATTCGCTTCCACCAAATGTAAGTTGTTGATAAAGGACTGGATTACATTGAACATAGTTGTCTGCGTTCTATCTCGCGATAGAGGTGGTATAACAGGATGAACAATTTTGAGGTTAGGCGTCGAGTGCTAGGTAAAGAGGGGAAATCAGTTGACGAGGCTGTGAAGTTAGATCAATTGAGATGGTTAGCATATGTGTTACGCGTGCATAGCCATCGCCTTCCTCGGCGGGCAATGTTAGCTGCTATAGGATCAGGTTGGAAAAAAGCCAGTGGTGGTCAAATCAAAACACAGCTCAATCAATCAATGAAACGCACAACAGTTAGTTTAAGCCACGTAGGAAGGCTTCCTGTTTGGGGTCCTCGGCATGGTGAAAACCAATGGCTGAAGACAATAGGTGAAATATGGCTCAAAATCGTTCTCGATGATGGCACAGATGCATCCACTCCTTGTGACTTATAATACCCAATAAAATTATATTGTTCCTCGATAATTCTATTCTTTTTGCCTCGCATCTCTGTTTTCTGTCTCTGTTTTGCATTTCTTTTTACTTTCTTCTCTTGGTTTGTGTGCTAAGTGAAGAGCAGCGACTCGAACTGATGCACATTGGTGTAAAGTTCTACGTTGAAACCGGTTAGTCAGTCAGGATGACACTGTGGCCTGTAGTGATGAACCAGTTTCTAAATTACCTCACGGTCATCTCTGTCGTAAGCCTTTTCAAAGTCAATGGAATTGAGGAAGAGAGATAGACTTAACAAGCACTTTATGCTCTGTTTGATAACAATGCGTAAACTTGCAATTTGATCCGCACATGATTTGCCTTTCCTGAATCCACGCCATTCTGTGCAGGCGGAGTTCTGCATCCACTGTATTTTTTATTTTCTCCAGGATGAAGTGACTTAATATTTTTCTAGATGTGGAGAAGAGCTTATTTACGCGTTAGTTGTTGTAGAGGCGTGAGTCGCCCTTCTTTGACAGTTTGATCAGATTGCCCTTCTTCCAATCAGTAGGTACCTTTCCTTCCTTTTAAACCTCTTTGAATAGTGATGTCAGGATGTCCACTGCGGTCTCTAGATCCGTTTTCGGTTGGATTTTTACTAGCACATATGCTATCCATTCACAACATAATTTTTACGTCTTAAAACCTTCTAATTTATTGATCATGTAAAGTAAGTTTATTGTTAACTATAATTTCTGGTCATATTGTGTTTTCTATGGAGAACAGTAAATCTCTGCCTTGTCAGTCAGTCATCCATGTCGTAGTATGAGAGCACTATTCGAGTGATCAGTCGTTGAATGTCGTGCCCTGAAAGTATTTGTAGAACGAAACCCCCTAGTCTACCGTCATATTGGTTACAAGAAGAATAAAACCAAAGGCGGAATAAAAATGTGAAATAGATATAGGTGAATAAATAACTCAAGTTTATATATTACACTGTATTGACTGTTGTGTCAGTGGTCATCGTTGAACTAGAAAAGAGAAATGAAGTGAGTATCTCATCCAGGTGGCCGGCCATCGTGTCTCATGTTAATTTTTATAAACTGCCATTTATCTTTTTTAACAACTCGTCAATTGTTTATCCTTTCTATCATTTCAAAGACGTCTATTATTATGATTATTATTGTTGTTATTATTTCATGTTTTTGTCAATTTCTACTCTGATGTGATCTGACCGACCTGCTGATTGACTGACTGACTGACTGACTGTTTATATTTACTTATTTATTTGAAGGTGTATATTTTTCATGCAGCAATTGTGATAAAAAGTATGCTACAAAATATCGCTTAAATGAACATATGAAAAGTTGTATAACAAAGTGAGTAATATAAACAACTTGGATTAATCCCTTTACTCAATCAAATGGTTTACTTTTATTTTGATTAATCTTCAGCAAACACTATTGATTTTGAAGTCCACTTCAAGTTGAAGTGTGCGCTGAAGATGTCACCTAGTAGGGTGATGAAAGCTTCGCAAATTTACTATCCAGCTCAGAGAACACAACCACATCAAAAAAACTATTGATTTTATTCCGCTTCTTCGTTTTCTATCACCTTATTCTTTGGAAACGATTTGAGCTGCAGATGTGTTCATAAGGTGGTGGTAAAATACGTGGATAAAGAAAAGGCAAATAATATGGACACTGTTAACTTGCATTTAAAGATGTGAAGTAGTCGAAAAAATAATAAAGTCATTTGGATAATCATAATGTTTAAAAGGTTTAGGCGGAGGGTGAAGTGGCTGGAAACAATTGGTGATATGGCTCGAAATCGTTCTCAATGGCGCAGATGCACCCACTCCTAATGACTTATGATTTCAAATGAAACTATATCGTTCTTCGTTATTACTATTCCTTTGTCTCACACTTCTGTTTACTGTCTCTATTATACATTTTTTGTACTTTCTTCTCTTGCTTTGTGTGCTACATGGAGTATGGCGACTTGAACTGCTGCACATCGGTGCAAAGTTTTATGTCGAAAACAGACAGACAGACAGAAGTGGCCATGTAACGACGGCTAAGGTATTGAAAGTGACTGTCTGCGAATTTCTTCTGAACATACGGGTCTGGCTGGCTTCTTTGGGTGGATTCCGATGGCTTCAGCTGTATGTAGAAGACAAATTCATAAGACAAAATTTGGATTAGTTGGAACGCCGTAAATAACTTTAAATGCTGTACTATATCAACTTTATGCTCAGTCTCTACATAGTGTACTAATACAGAGCTATGAATAAATCTTCTCAACCCCTTGTTTGTAATTATGACGGATAAATTTCGGAAATACCGATCATGAAGCTGCCTAATTATACGCCCAATGTTATATATACCATCTTTTATTAGATAATACCTCTGGAATGCTGATACTATTGAACTGTTGATACGAAAAGAGTTCTACATCGTAGTGGCTGCAGCATTCACAGCATGCTTCGTTTTCCAGTAATTGCAAAACACATTAAATTTAGATTAATGAACCTAGCAGAATATTTTCCCTTGGAATAATGTGTTCATTAACTTACTATTCTTGACACTGACTCACTTGTGGCAATCACTACGACTGGTAGCATGATCATCAGTACTTCCACCGAGATGAGGCATTCTGTCATCATAATACCTCTTCAAAGATAAATCCTTCTACCCTAATTCCAATTCATCCCATATAAAAAACAATACTGGAACACTTCGTCTTAGTCAGGTTTAACACACGAGACCACTGAATCGAGTATTTTCAATTAATGAGTAGCTTCATAGCTTGATGGTTACGTCGTAGGTTACTGGTGAGTTCGCACCCGTAGGGTGTCTAAAGTTTAACTTCACCTGTGCTGAAGGCTATTAGTAGTTGTGTTTATTGGCAGCGTAACACAGCTGAGAATATTGACGACAACAACCGGAGGTGTTTCAACGCCATCTGTTTCGTCAGGATTATAACAGCCAAAACTGTCAGTGTTCTCTTTGCTTTATGCCTTCCAACGAATTGGCTAAACAAAGTATAAGAGCATAAAAAAGGCGTTTACACGTTTAGTATCTTTTCATGTGTGTCGTGAGCAGCTGTTTTTTTCTCGGTAAATGGTAGATCACGGGAATAAATTCCCCCCACATACTCCCTCCATCTGTCCAAAGTCTTCTTGGATGATGTGCATTATCCTTCAGTTAATAGGCTAAATCCCCACTCTCTGCGATATTTTCGTGATTGCTTTGGCTTTACTGTAATTCGTATACTCCGTTTATTTTAGTCGATTTCTCTCCTCGTTGAGCACGTGATGTTGTTCACTAGGAAATTTTCGGGAAGAACGAAAGTTCCAAGTACGGGGGAAGTGATTAGTGCAAGATCGATTTTGTGTGAAAACGAAATCAATTAGCGTACAATTGAAAAGCATGGAGGTTTGCTTTGACAGAAGTTTGAATTCATTGACTGCTGAATTCCAACCCCTAATAATGGTAACTAAATGGGAATGTGTTATTCTCGTCGACTCCTTGAACCTTACTCGACGCCTGATGTGAACTGTGAAGGGTGATTTTGATGTTGTTATATTTTGTAAAGTGGATACCATGGTGTAATGAAGAAGTCTTCATTGTCCTTGTAGACGACAATTGCCAATTGAAACTGGGACTGAAGATGTTGACTAGTAGGCGACTGAACACTCTGCAACCAAATCATTCAGATCACAGAGATCAACAATGCCAACATGACAGTGTTGGTTATTCTAACTTTTCAAGTTTGATCACTGATTGATGTCAGTAAGAGAATCACTGAATACTAGGGAGTACTAGACAGCTGTCTTGTCCGCCTATTTTGAGAATGATAGGCAGTATGTACTCACCTCCGGGATTCGAGATCGTAGACCATTCAGCCAGTGGGACCCGACCCAATGGCCCATGAATTCTAGCTTCTACCGATTCGTGATTATAGCGTAATCACCAGCTAGAAGTTTAAATTTCATGGTTTAGCCGTTGATTCGGGTCTGAGTGGTTGAATGGTCTGGGAGCGCGCCTTGCAACCGGAAGATCCTGGCGGTGGGCGCGTACTACAAATGAGTCCCAAACTACGCGAATGGAACAACTGTCCAGTACTCCCTCCTACCTGGTTTTCACTGGTTCTCTAACTGATATGATCAAACTAGAGAAACAGACCACGAAATCCTTGCAAACAACCTCTTGAATATTCTAACTTTGTGACACTGTCTACTGTTTATTTTCATTGCAGAATAAATTAATGTCATGTATGTGTTGCTTATTTTATTATTATTCTTTCTATTGAAGACAAAGAATGATCTCTTCGAAAAATTAATCAAAGCAGACAGCTGAATGAACAGCAGTCATTTTTATCCTAATACAGATGAAGTGCTTTTACCTGTTAGATGGGATTATTTTTATTTTACTATTATTATTATTGCTGTGTCCCACCCTCCCTTCCAACGGTACCCACCACCGACACCCACTGAAGAAGCAATTCAAAGCTATTAACAGGATAAAACTTACTCTCACTATCACTAACTGTGTACATATCCAGATTTCCTAAACGTATGTGATGTTTAACTACAAAAGTTCTACAAATATATTTGTTTATATTTTATACTTTTATATTCAATGGTGGTAACAGAAAATCCCTGGGAAATAAATTGTGTTGTGTGATCAAGTTTCACTTTCGTTATAATATCTGTTTGTGTATCATGAGTTGTAAATTGCCGACATTTTTTGTTATTGTTGATTTTACCTCTTGACTGCAATTAATAACCAAATAGTTGATTGATGGTGTGCTTACTTAAAACGTGGATGAAATGTACTGGCGTAGGAATTGTCGAGCCGTATTGTAGGATTTATTCACGGATTGATGTCAGTTCTGGAACCATTGTAAAAGCCATCAGGGAGTAGTGGATAGCTGTTCCGTCCTACGCACTTACGACCCCACTGCGAGTTGAACCCAAGTCATTCTGGTTTCCTAGAATTCTAGTGAGAAGTCATGAGCAGTGAGTGAGTTCACCAGGTTGGCTGGCGTCTGTAGTGCTCAAATCGAGAATCGGCAGAAGTAACAATTGATGGTCCGTTTGATTTCGGCCAAAGTGACTGAATGGTCAATCAGCTTGGCGTGGTAACTTTGAGGCTCTGGGTTTGATCCTTTGTGGATAGGATCATGGGTGCGTACTGCCGAAGAGTTGGAACCTGGACAAGACGGCTGGCCAAGACTCTCTGGTTTTGAATGGTTCTCTAACTTTCATCAATCCATGAGCAATTTGAGACTAATCACATCTCTACAAGCTAACTCATGTACTCTAAATTTTTTTTCATTTTAACAGAAATTCATCTTATCATAGTGTGTATTTCATGTTTCCAGTTGTGTTGTTACTGTCTCACGCTTATTTCACAACTATCCTGTTTCGTCTTGGTTATGTACAGTTGATGTATGTGTGTGTTTGTGTGTATAAGACACGATTACTGACTTAACGTTTGAACAGAGTGGTGAATTAATCATGTTGGATTATGAGTGTCATTGGAGGCGGGAAGAAGATTTAGATATTAGCTAACCATGATACTTTCACTGATAAACTCACTCAGAGAAAATCTTTGTTAAGCTTACTGCTCCATGTGAGTCATTTAGGCGAGGTATTTTATTTAGCAAATACGATATCAAGTGCAACGGGCCGATCAGAGTGAATTAACGATTTCTAGATTACAGAAATATGTTGAAAGGTGAACTTCAGGTAATTTTAAGAAACAAACAGGCATTGATATTCATGCATCACAACACAGCCTACCCTTGAATAGGATAGTTCAGAGAAATAGCCTTAAGACGTAATTCAGCTATGTGAAGGTTGATTGTAATCGATAACCAGAGGTCCAGTTATATCGAATGTGAGAACCTCTATGTCAACTTAGGTGGATGTTCTCTTGGTCTTCACATGCTCGAATATGGGTTGTAGATTGTAGGACAAGACAGAAAGTGTCTTTAAAATAGGACTGTCTAGGGGACCTGGGATTATATTGTGACAAACTTTAATTGCACTGACATGATGAGATATGCTATGAAGTTGCATGTAACTGCTAACTAAAAGAATGAATAAGGAAAGAAGTAACCTGAAACAATTGGAAATATCACTGTCCAGTCATAATTTGGCGTGTACTACTGACAAGAATTATCAGTAGTATGTACAGATAAATTCATCGGCATAAAAACATCAGAGAGCGGGAATATGGATTTCACGTCGAAGAGAGGAAATGATGAACCAGTATTGTGGCGAAACATGGAAGCCATCAAAAGAATGCGAGAGAAGACAATATGAAGGGCAGCAGCAGAACACGGAAGATCTGAGCAAATGACGATTTTCATAAAAGGTGTATATAATTCCTTTATATAAAAAAATGTCGAACTCTAAGTAAACATTCCGTTGCTAATTCTCTTGTCTTCTACGGCTACAATATGATCCCTCTACAGACTTTTAAGCGTAGTCTAGTGTAGTTTTGTTATTAGAGTGGTGATCATAATCAACAGCATTCAGTCTATTATCCATTGACAGGCTTCACCTTCTAGCAAGCTAATGCCATCTCCTTTCTCCATTATAACTGAAGTGATATTGACGACTGTCTGACATCCACGGTATACCTGGATTTTCTAAGGTCTCCCTCCTTTTCAGTGTCCCAACCAAACGAGTCGATTTTCGACACCATTTCAGACTGAGTTAAAAACCATGCCAGCCTCTGAATACACGTGTCTCAACGTGTAAAAGTGTTTCAAAGGTCAAAGTGACAATCAAATGTGTAGGCGACAAAAAGACTGAGGAAATAAATATTCCCCTTTCAAATGAATCCTGGTCAATGGCAGTACTCTATAATCTCTAATAAATTTGAACAAAATACGGAATTCTCGATGAGCCATAAAGACCACTCAGAGTAGGGGATCTACTTCATTGACGAAGTTATCTTCAAAGGAAGTGCTATCGTAATTATATTTACTAAGAACACTTAGCTGTCTTTTATTATTGTCATATTGGGTTTGAAGTAATAAAAATAATAGTATCTTTATTCTGAACAGTATTTATATATGCTGCACTGGATTTACAGTGGAATATACTGCACCGTAGTTTTTTTATATGTGAGGTCTTCAATTAAAGGAGTAATTGATAGTAGGTTGCGTGACACAATGTCTGTCTGACCTGAAGCGTAAACCAATCCCTTATGATATTTCTTCCTCGTCTCCTTCGAGAAGTGCTGGAAATTTAGTTAAAAGCTGCTTTAAATAGAGGCAAGAGGCCCAGTGACGCATTGAATAATTGAAGACTTCAGGTAGTCAGTTTTATATTTAAGGCAGTATTGGTGAGCGACAGAAGACAAGGGTCAGGAAACAGATCGTTTATTGAGAAAATCAACAGGTATCTATAGATTTTTGTGTGTATTATCATTCGTTATTGTTAGCAGAGAAGCAACGTCTTCTGATTGGTAGTTTTCCTGCTGAAGGTTATTCTGTTATCTCTTTGTTGCAGTCCGGTGATAAAGCTGCTAATCGTATCCGCCCACTCGAAGTCTGCTGTGATTGGTTGTTGAGTTAGTCTTTGTTCTTGTTTTTTTCTCATGACCAAGATTTGGCTAGCATACAGCTCTCATCACAGTAGTTTGTGCCAAAAGATGTTAAGAACAATTATCTCGTGTGTATTGGGATATGTTTCCACCCATGGTTTAGTAGAAACTTGCGAATCAGTAGGCTGCAAATATTTTAAATACTCGTCAGAGTTTCGAATATTTATTGGAAACCATGTCTTAATAGATTAAAACAAACTGTCCGAGAGGAACTATATGCCTTGTAATGATGGAGGTTTTTTCTTCTGGTAGACCAATTTTTAGACAGACCGCCGGAGAAACTTCCTGAAGGTTAAAAGAAGTCATTCAATAGTCAATAATACAATAGAAGTTAGGGGTTTCCAGTTGTTATTAGATGAGAAGGAATGGTGTTATTGCGTGTCTTCTTGACAAGTGTTGTAAAGATGAGCAAATGAAACCTAGTAGAAAGCTTAAAAGGAACATGTAAGAGGGACACTAGTGTACTAATGTTTAGAAATAGAATCACAGACAGCTAGGAAACAGTTTAAAATTATGGAAGAATCCAAAATTGAACGAATCTTTTATGCTGACGAATTGCTAGCGCTTCCCCTCATTGCTCAGTGATAGACTTTATGTGTGGTCGATTATTCTCCCGTCTGGAACTAGTAAAATCCAGAACACACACAATATGTTTAGAAACGTTTATTTCCGAAACTTGTGACAGAGAAAGCAACGAAGGGTAAAAACTGTATGGCATATATTGGTCTAGTCACAAAGCTGGAATAGTAGGCGCTACTGCAGGCTGGTTTTTGATTGGTGGTGGACTTCCATCATGCAACATGTGATTTATTTATATTTGACTGGTACACCAATGAGATGGATTGTGGGTACATATCAGTTATCTTGTGAAAATTTTCACTTTATTCGTTGGACAGCATCTCTTCTCTGTGTTGCTTGACGATAATTTGACAAACTCTGAGTTTCTGTCAAATGTTATCAGCCTAGTATTCTCAGAAATGGATTTAGGAATGTCATCTGTGCATATGAAGACGGGAACCATTATGGAAGTGCTACATAACCTCACTCCTAGTCCGGTTTTCAAACGCAGACATCCAAATTGCTGTTCAGAATAACTGTTCCGTTAGTCTAACGAGCATTATCGTCAAATTGCCAGATAGAACTATCTCTCACGTTGTTATTGAGAATGTTGAGAGTAAAACACTGCTACTTGATGGTGAACATGCTTCTAAGTAGAGGAGGGATGTCACTCTTGTGACTCTTGAAGTGAGTTATGTATGCATGTTTGGTGATATTGCTCCTCATATGCAACCAGAATTTCGCGTTGAGTTACACAACCGTTCAACTTCTACGATTATTTCTACCCTTCAATACCTGATGTGATTTCCTTCAATTATCACTACATGCTTGTTTTCATCTCATCGTTTACGATAACTAATCGTCATCGTCATCATGCTCTGTCCGGTTCACTGGTACGCTCACACATCCAAGCCTGTTGCAGGACAGATTTGTGACGAAAAACAAAAGTAACTTGAATTTGAATTATAACCTCTTTTATTAGATTAATAGATAAATGTTGTACGCTGTGCGGGTTGGCGACAACCGACAACATACATCACATTTCATGCATTTTATCCAGACATCAGTGCGTAGAATGAACAGAAAAAGAATAGACCCACGCATCACCCCCAATGAAACTGTCGATCCACAGCTGAATGATACTGGAGACCAGAATGCGTGTCACCACCTGAAAATGAATAGAGAAAACACACATTAAGCATCATGTCCCAGTCTGATCCACATTTGTGCAAATGAAATTCTCGTCTGTTCGGATAGTGAGACTGTCGGTCGTCATTATGGAAGTTCGCAATCATGCAATGACGGTGTCAACGCCATTGAGAAAAGGACACAAGTATTTCA